TACCCAAAACCATGTAAAGAATTAAGAAGGCGGCCGAAACTATTTCTGGCTGGGACTGCCCCTTACTAACCTTCATCTACCCGGGTTTTGATTGTGGCTCTTGGCAAAACGGAAGACGTGCAGCCCAAATCAGCGGCTCAGCTAGTATCCAAACACATGAGGCCGATACAATGAAGGTGTATGGTAATGCCGGTGCAGCCAAAAAATCCTCCAAAGTTGGAGGCGGCGTCGACACCATGCCCTGGCAGGATGACATAACTCTGCTCACAAATTGGCAAGGCGCCGAGAAATCCATCTTGCCTTGAGGAGGTGAGGACAAAGATGATAATCCTGCTCTCGCGGCTGTCTTCCGGTGAGAACTCACTGCCACTTGCCTGTGGCGGCGGCAGATCTCGCTCGTCCACACAGTCAGCCAAGTTCGGCTCATTTTCGCAAAGTTCTCGGCACGAAACCTGCAGGGTAGGCGAGATTCACTTACTTGGATGGGGGGGGAGTTGAAATCTCAAGTGCTCACAGTGCATGAGAGGCCCTCACCGGATTTCCTTGGTCGCGGCAGGCAGCATCTGCATTGTAGCACCTTAGGCAAAAAAAACACGACACACACACACACACACAGCTGATGGGCCTTCAGAAAACCCCCAGATGCTCAGGTACCGTCCCTTCTTGAAGTATGCAAGTGTAAAAGACCCTCCGGAACTGGCACCTAGGCGAGCCATGTGTTCACGCGAGCTGTGTTGTGCACTACGTGAGTCACTTGCAATCAAAACCCGGTACTAAAATGGTCGCAGGCCCCAGAACCATGTAAGGAAATACAACGGCCGCTGCTGTTTCTGGCTGCCATTGTCCCTTACTAACCTTCATCTACCCGGGTTTTGATTGTGGCTCACGTTCAATCTGCGCTATGACTGCAGTCAGCGCGACTGAGTCCGTTTAGTTGGGGGGATGTGGCTGGGATTCAAACTCTGTTGCTCCGCTCGCAATGGAAATCTTCTCCACCTGCACCAGCGCATATCTTGAATCGCAGCCATTACGTGTGGCTCCGTGCGCCAAGAAGCAAATAACTGCCTGCTCGCACTTCAACCATGCTGCGTCTGCATCTGCACATGCCTCCAGGCCATCAAGCTCAAGATTGGCACCAAGCAATGCGGACTGCCTCTGACCAATTGAGTCACTTGCTCAAAACCCGGTATTAAGATGGTCGTAATCCCCGAACCATGCTTCAAGAATTAAGACGGTGGATATCCGCCTCCATTCATGGCAAGGGGATGGTCCCTGACTAAGCTTTATCGATCCCCGGGTTCTAATTGTGGCTCAAGTGTCGCTACATCCCTGATTCGTTGCAAACGAGGTCGGGCACCTTGACGTCTTGACCAAGAAGTTGGCCTGCCTGGCAAAAGCACGGACCACAATCCAAGTTTCTGAGCAAGACCTACACTGAACTGACCTGCCTGCTCTCCACAGCTTTGGTTGGAACTCTCAACAAACATGTCATTGCCAGTCTGTGCCCCCTAAAACAACAGCTAGGCTCGCTCTGTTCCTTGTTCTCCTTGCTTGTCTTGGCATTGGCCTTGCCTGCAGTAGGAAGGCCAGCGCTAGTCGACGCATCTGTCATGACCTCGCAACAATGCCTCACCATACTTCGATACAAAAAAAAAAGCCATCCGGTAGCAAGGCGTGCCATTCCGCATTCCCAACTTGGAAGGCTCACGGCCCTCTTCGCCCTCTGCACAGATGACTCAACTGCACATTCAGCATTACTCTGGCATGCTCATGCTATCAATGTCCAGCATGCTCTCTCAAATCGCCTTCTGGCAGAAGCTCATTCCATCCATTCTTGGGGCTGTTGCAAAGGACAGCTTGTAGACCTTGATATGGAGAACAATTCTTGCTCAATGATGCTTTGGCATGTGGACATAATCCACTGGAAGGCACATAGAGAGATTCATTCTTTCTGTAAATGCTGTGTTGGAACGGTTGTAGCCAGTACGTACGGTAGGCTCTTTACTTCCGCAAACAGATTGCAAACACACGCATGCCGCTCCGCGCCAATCTCAACAGCGGCTGCAAGTGATGCGGGAACGTGTCACACATCAAGCCAACGCGCCTTGCACTTGCTTGGCTTCAAGATGCATCCATCAGAGAATCCATCATCCAATGAGGCTCGCTGAGTTGTATAATCTGCATGGCTCCCCTATCGACGAAACAATCCCAAGCTAATCTGGGACTGCCGCTCGGGTGAGATGTCCGAGCAATGCGTGAATTGCAATTGATCAGTACAGCTGACACAGCTCTGTGTAGGTGGACAAAAACATGACATGGCAAAGCAGGTGTACTGAACAATTCCGCCCTAGCATAAATGATGGTGAAACCTACGTGCTTTGTGAAACTCTCAGAAGTGAGGCTTTCCGCTCTGCTCAGAGCAAATCTTGCACTTTGGCTCTTGACTGCCTGCATGTCGTTGCCATAGGCAGGCGAACTCTTGCGCGCGCCCATTGGAGCATATCCAATCGACTGCAAACGTTTGAAGAGCTTGCAAGGGACTTGATTTGCCAGCATTGCTGGCAAGAATTCGAGAAAGCAACTCCAACCATCTGGACCAGCAATACCAACATAATTGCCGCGCATACATTGGTATTTGCGTTATGCTCAGCCTGGCCCAAGCTCAAAAAAGCGCGAGCCCTCCGACGTTGTCCTCAGCGGCATTCCGCGCTTGAACCCTCAAGCAAGGTCGGAATATCTACGTACATACATCACATTACATACACCTAGAATACCATACATACACTACACTGTACACTACACAGTACACTACACAGTACACTACACAGTACACTACACTGTACACTACACAGTACACTACACAGTACACTACACTGTACACTACACTGTACACTACACTGTACACTACACTGTACACTACACTGTACACTACACAGTACACTACACTGTACACTACACTGTACACTACACTGTACACTACACTGCACACTACACTGCACACTACACTGTACACTACACTGTACACTACACTGTACACTACACTGTACACTACACTGTACACTACACTGTACACTACACTGTACACTACACTGTACACTACACTGTACACTACACTGTACACTGTACACTACACTGTACACTACACTGTACACTGTACACTACACTGTACACTACACTGTACACTACACTGTACACTACACTGTACACTACACTGCACACTACACAGTACACTACACAGTACACTACACAGTACACTACACAGTACACTACACAGTACACTACACAGTACACTACACAGTACACTACACAGTACACTACACTAGACTACACTACATACATACAATACATACAATACATACAATACATACAATATACAATACATACAATACATACAATCCATACAATCCATACAATACATACAATACATACAATACATACAATACATACAATACATACAATACATACAATGCAGACATTACATTACATTATATTCTGTTACATTACATTGATTTACATCACATTACATAAACCTACAATACAATACATACACTACACTACCTACGTGGAATGTCTACGAATATGTATTACATTGCATTACGTTACATTAGTTGCATTACTTACATAGCAAATATATTACATACACTACGTACATGGCACTGCACTACATTACATTGCAATACTACATTCAGTACATTGGACTGCATTACATTGCGTTACATTATATTATCAAACTATATTACGTTACATTACTCTACAACACAAATACATACATTACATTACAAGCATTACATACATTACATACATTACAAAACATTGGATTACATCACATTGCATTACATCGAATCACATCACATCACATACATTACATTACGTTACATTGCATTACCTGGCATTACATCATTTGCATTACTTACATTGCATACATTACATACTCTACATATACTGCACTGCATTCATTATGAAAATACATTGCACTGCATTACACTACAATAAGTTTTTGCATTACATTGCATTTCATTACATTAACATACAATACACCACTTTACATTACATCACTTACATTACATTACATTACATACAATGCATCACATTAACATACAATACATCACTTTACATTACATTGCACTAGATTCCATTACATATATTACGTACCAAATTACGCTACATTACCATAGGGACTCAAGCGATCACTCTGAGTGGCCCGACATATCGCCCGGCCGAGGCAGTGGGACCTGTGGAGGTTGCCTCCGCTCTGGGCTTGGCGGTGCACCTGCGCAAAGGCCGTCTGAGACCGCGTGCTGCCGGTGCGTCAGGGCGGCGGTTTGTTTTTCTTCCTTTACTCGGTTGCTGGAACGACCCCCCTGCAAAGAGTTTTTTGGTTTAACTTTTTGGGGGTTTGGTGGAAAGCCCCTTGATCTCCCAAAAGTGTGTTTTTTCTTGCTGGATCGATAGACAGGGAATGAGAAATGGAATGGTGCTCAGCAGGGAATGAGAAATGGAATGAGCCCTATAAACTATCCCTTGTGGTTTCCTCTAAAAGGACCAAGGTCTGGGTTCGTTCTGACATTCCCCATCGCACCAAGAAGCTTTTGCGTCAAGGGGCCTCTGTGACCTGGCCCACGGGCTCCCTGTGGACTGAACCTCACGTTGACACGAACCAAACGATACGAAATGTTGGCCATCTTTAAGCCTCTGGAAAGCTATTTTTGCGAGTGGAGAGCGCACAGCAGCCCATCTTGAGCTACATATTTAGCTGAGATGCATAGTGGAGGAACTACTGCTTCCTCCACATGGTGCTTGAGAGCCATCGCCGGCTCTCCCTCATGGCCACAAATGCTGATCTTGCTCAAAGCCAAGGGAACCAATGCCCAAACCTGCACCACACTGGACAAGTGGGTCCACTTGCAGACCTGCCTTGGTGGGACGTGTCCGAAGGCTCTGCCTAAGTCTCATGCGTTTGACGTCTGCCCATGGGTCGAAAGCCAAATCGGTTAGCCCCCGTGAACCTCCCCACTGCCCCCACTAAACAAGGTCCTAAAACCGGGCGGTGCACCTGCCCCAAAATGGTACCATTGGTTTTGACTCACAGCCAAATAGGTACCCCAAATGGCTAAAACCGGGCGGTGAATTCGGCTAAATGGTACCATTGGCTTTGACCCAACTGCCCTCTGAGCCGACGGCAACCAACGGAGCGCAGCTACTGCTGCTGCTTCCTTACGCGCAAGCTTCAAAACCCCGTGGGCTCTTTTTGGCTGCGCCAAATTGGGCACCTCGGTAAATGGAACCAGAGAGTATAAAGCCTGGGTAACCCATTTCGCCAAGCTGCCGCCGCGCAAGCCAGCGGCTGCCTTGGTGCAACATTGGATGCACTTGTGCTGCCTGTGCAAACACAAGCACACATAGATGTTTATATATACAGTAAAGATTATGTATCTTGTATATAATAACTGGATTGCTCCAAACTCCTTTGCCTCGAAACGGCGATTCTTCGCGAATAAAGGCAACCTTTGGCGGATTTACCGACGTGCACCTCTACTTGGTGAAGTCAGGACGTCGCAATGTTTCATTACCAAGTTAGTGCGCGAAAAAACACTTCCGCGGCTCCAGCTTGAAAGTCGCGACGCCGCTCTGCAGCAGCAGCTGGACAGCGGCAACATTTCAGCACCTCGCCCTGCAATCAGAGCTTGCGCTCTTGCACAGATCTTTCGCGAAGCATCTTCATGTTTCAGAGCGCAAAGCCAAGCGACCGGGTGGGAGCACACTTGGAGCAGTAGGGTGTCGCGAGCAAACCGCGACAAAGGGTTCAATTCAGCTGTCATAGAAGCGCGGTTCTACAGAAACACACATTTCTTTCACATGAAGCACGCGAAAAACACCGTTAGATTCCTCTGCTGCGCCAACGCTTACGCGCGGCTTACGCGCGTGCACAGCCAGCTTAGTGGCAAAGCTTGCGCGAAGCTTACGCAAACCATTCTTAGCAAGATGCTCGCACGCCACCACAGCAATAGTGCAGCGTTGCAGAATTGCAGACGCAAGTTAGCATGCATTGGAGTTGCCTATTTTACAGCCTTTGCAAGTCAGGCCTTTCTGTCGCGAACGTAGCGCTCAAAGTGAGATTCACTATTGGGGTGGTACACGAAGTGAACTTTGGGAAGCTCCAGCTCGCAAATCGCAACTTTCCAGTACAAGCGTAGTGGGCGATCCGTACACTTTGGATGCATCCGACATGGCCAGCACTGAAATACAAAGCATGAGGTGTTCGAGCACGCTCCGCCTCAAGACGATGCGACTTCTCTGTACAAGTCGCTTGCGTGCAGGTGATGCAAGGATACTCGTAGCATGCTTACGCGCGAAGGCTTACGCGGGCCCTGTGTTATTGGACCTTTACTAAGCACGAACAGAAGAGTTTTAGCGCAGCTCACATGCCGCTGCCTTGCAGGATACCGCAGCAGTGACGCGAATCTTTCGGGGAGGTGCCTTAACCGACGGTCACCGAATACTAAACTCCTTACCACGGATCTTTGGAACAACTCGCACATAGTCACAAACATGCGGGGTGATCAAAGGTTCTTTGCATGGGATGACCACCACATATTCACAAACACCCAAGGACGATGCGGCCCCTGGTGGGCGTGCCGTCCCTGCCCCAGCACTGCCGCGACGGTCATGTCGGTGGTCCCGCATCCTTAGTGCTTCAACTTGGGGCCAAGGTTTGCAGAGACACGCTTTCTGCACAGAAATACTACATCTAAAGGCGAGTAGTGCCAATTTCCGCCAAAGAAAGCACTGCTGCAAAGAAATCAGGGGAAGAGGGCAGAAGCCAAAAAGCCAAGAGAGCATACAGATTGTTCGAACGTTGCATAGAAGCAGCAAGACTGCAGCAAACAATCATCTTAGTCTTGTTGCGATTCAAATGCGTTTGTTTGATCCTGCTTGGGCCGGTGTAATCCTGCCTTGCTGGCGCTGGTGCTTTTTGTCTGGCTCTTTCGCAAGCTCCACGAAACAGAAACCTGCGGCACCTTTTGCTTGCCATAGTGAAACAAGAAACGGTGTAATGTTGACCCATGATTCATAAACCCGTCCCATTTTTAGGGGGGTGTTCCCTCCAAAAGTGATGATTCCCCACTAAAAGGGGACGCAGCCAGGGATTTATTAATCTGGGGTTCACATTATTGCAACGGTCGTTTCCGCTTTCACGGCGTCTTTGAAAGGGGCCACAGCTTCGCCCTGGACAAACTTGCCGGGCTCCGTGCTTGCTTTGACCTGCCTGGCTGCGGACAACAGCGATGCAGCTCAACAAGCGATGATGACGACCGGATTCCAACTCTGCCTTGGAGAGGGTGGCTGAGTTACCGGGTAGTGGCTCTGATGGTGGTGGTGCTGGCCTTGCAAGTTGTCTGCATGACATGATCTCCACAAATCGGAACTTGAGCAAGCGACGCTGGAGCCGTTTTGTGACTGTGGAGGATTTGCAGAATAAGAACCTGGCGAATGAACACAACATTCTCTCAAGCCCTTGCAACTCCGGTGCTTCCCCGCTGCATCAGCAATGTAAGAAGCGCATGACCCCCTCCCACCTTGTCAAGCTCTGCAAAGCTGGCTGTCTTCATTACCTCGACTCCAGAGTAGTCAGGTTCATGTGCATGAGTCATTCCAAACTGAAGGGCAACGCAGTGTCTTGCCTGAGTGATAAAGATGCATTCTAGATTAAGGTGGCGGCGAGGTGGAAGTTTGCCGAGTCTGTCATGAATATCAGTGCTCGGTTTCGAAGCCTGATGGGGAGGAAGATGAGGCAAGAACATGCAAAGCAGCCATTTGTTGTTTTTTGTTTTTTGAAGTGGCTCTCTTCTGGACAACGTTAGTTCCGGCCTGCTGCACGAATACTTGTCTGCAAGGGCAAAAATGCGTGCAACATTGTCCACTGACATAGCCTCAGAACAGCGAGTCCAACTTGGCAAAGAAGCGATGCTTTGTTTCGATTATCCTCTCTGTGTGAAATCATATCGAAACTAAGCTTCAAGCACAAATCAGTGTCCGCTCACACAGCCGCTTCAAGTCCAAGACCTGGGGGCTCTTTGTAGGACACGCCAGTGCCAACGTCGCGAAGTTGGCACATTGTGCTCGGGCAGATACAATGCTACAATTTCACTAGGACTGTCACAGAAAGCCGGTCAGCGATTGGAATCATGTCAAACGCAAAGTCAGCATCTTCCACGATCCAGTCCTCGGTTTGCCGGAGATGTGGCACTCAAGTATCAGCTGCTAAAGCAGCGGTTGTTTGAAGACGCTTGGGCAGCGACATCTGCATACATGAAACTCAGAAGCAGCTGCAACTGCTCGAACGTGATGTCCTGCAACATTGCTACTGCCACAAGTGCCAAAGCATCTCATTGCGCATCTGACAGCCACTGGCTCACATACAGATTCACAACATACTAATTATACATTTGCTCCGCAGCTCCTCCAACAGAACTCTGCCCTCGATTTGCCTGGCAGGCCCCGCTTGCAACGCTCAGTCTGAAGCAAGACAGGGTGCGATGACAAACAATTCAACAAGCATGCAAGGATGCTCCAAATTTTGTAAATGTCCAAGGGCCGGCGAGATCATGTGTCTGTGCATCCGGCTTTCCGAATCTCAGCTTGCGGCTCACGAAACTCGGAGGAGAACAGCGCTCGGAAATATGAAGAGCCTCGCAAGAAGAGCTGTGCATCGCTCAAGCGATCAATGCCTATGGCTGTGGTGGTCGAAACTAGGGCAACCCAAAAACGGGTCGAAATATGTTGGTAACCCAAAAATGAATGCTTGCCCCTGGTCAATTGAAAGGACTAACACCTGCGGTCCAATTCCTCGTGGCTTAATTTTGACCCATACCCACATGGATCATATTGTTCCTATGCGACGACTCCATGGCATCTGAGTCTACCTCAACTGTCAACCCTAGGCAGGCTGAGCACCAGCCCTCTCAACCATTCTCTCATACAATAGCTGTTGACAGTGGCTGTGAGCGAACGGCTCGAGACCTGTCTCTAGAAAGTGCATGTATCTACATGTAAACTTCAGAAACGGGACTTGCTTAAAGTGGTGCAGCACCGCTGATCAAGGAGCAGGTGTAGGCGTGTGTTCATTCATCTGATGTTACTAGTGCAAATTCCTGCTGGCTTCTAGTTTAAAAATAGAACATTGCCGTATTCATGATCCGGCACCCTCAGAACGCTCTATGCAGTCTCATTGCCTCTAATATCTTCTCACAAAGCATCATGCCACATCGGTTGTCTTTATGATGAAAGGCGAGGGCAAATGCCGTAGCAAACATGCAGCAACGGTATCAACACATGGCACGGGATCCGGCCCGATGTTATGCAACATGGGAGCTTCCGGTCACTAAGTCACATATCTTAATGTGACAATGTCCGGTATATGGAAGCACTAGGACGCAAAGGGAAGAGATGAAAAATCACAAACACCGTCCAAACATCGGAATATGTGCAATTGACGGTTGTCGGGAATTCCTTTCCGGGAAATACACCAAAAGTAAATGAACATGTTCGACCTCCGTCCAGGAGCTTTCGCGGGGCTTTCACAAACTTTCAGCAAACAATAAGCTTCGCGAGGTTCATCCCGGAGCTTTCGTGGGGCAAACCATAAGAAGCAATGGCCTTCCCCTTCATATCTCAATACAAGGACCTGTCGGACGACGCCCACAGATTCTCTCAAGCACAAACATCAACTGAGCTTTGGGCGGCTAGCTAAGACACACTTGTGTGCAGCTACTTCGTCAGACGCTTCCGAGCCAGCAGCCTGAGTCAATGGCAGGTTGAGGCTACGAATTCCAGGCAACAGCCATCTTGGGTACCAACAAGCAGCACATCACAACTGTCCTGAAGAGACTCGTGCTAAAGCGCATAAAGATGCTGAAATCCTTGCTGGCCTACCTTTGTCCGTACCTGGTTCTGCTTGAATGTTGACTGCGCTGATACCATTGAGGACAACCGCGGGATCCTTGTCAGCCAGCAATTGCCGCATGTGGTCCTTGGACTCAACGCACAGTGGCACATCAGTGATCATTAATATTGAGCAAAATCCGAAATGCACTCCTCCAGCATCGCATCCTCATCTTTAATGGGAGCATCAATATCCTCGCAGCGTACATGAAAGAACGGTCAGGGAGGTTGGCAACATATTGTCAACAGAAGTATCCCCTATCGCACAGGCATCACACGCTTGCATGTTGTTCAAGCCCTTCGTCCTGCAGATCCAACAAAGTTCCCCGAGCAAGCCTGCAAAAGCAAACCAAGTGCTCCGGAAGCAGGGCGGCTCAGGCTTGAGCGTTTCCCGGTACGCTGCATCCTCCAACCTCAATCGTTCGAAAAAACATATTCGGAAGCGCATAAGTTGCATGTGAGATGTGGTGCTTCGTGTGCTTTCGCGTCCTTATGATCATCCTGAACGTGATCCACCATGCACTTGTTCCACTCGAACCGGAATGGAGGAATGCACGAACCCAGGGTTGAACCCCTCTGAACCTATGAACCTCTACGAACCCCTGCCTATAAACCCTATGAACCGCCATGACTGAGAGACTGGCACTAGTGCCTGGCCGTTCGGCAGGAAGAAGATTCCCCATCCACCGCCCGGAAGATCCTGAGACGCTGCGGCTCAAAAAACCGGTACCAACATGGAACCCTGGTAAGTGGAAACATGGACCAAAACCTGCGGTTTGCCCCTCCTGTTTAATTTTGAGCCACACCCATGTCTCTTCCGCGACATCTTCCGCATCAGTTGACTCCTTACTTGAGGCAGGCGCCTCCCTCGCATCGATTGGAGGCCTAGGTCACTTCAGATGGGTCCAAATCCGAATCGGTTAGCCCCCAGTCATGCCAATCCAACCACTTTTCATAGGTTCTAAAATGGGTGGTGAACTCACCTACCCCAACATGGGATCCCATTGGTTTTGACCCACAGCCACTTCAGAACATCAGAAACTATGCATGCCTCGAAGTAGTTCGTCTTTTGGGGCTACCAGCAAAGGTATCACTCTGGCCAACGGTTGATGTTTGATCCCCAGCATTCTCCCAGCTTTCCAGCGAACCGGCAGAACCACCCCCCAAACCACACAATCCTCCTGAACTTTGTGGTAGTGAGCAACGAACACCATTTCTCGACGACTGTCACTCAAAATTGTTCACGAAAAAAGCTTACAAGGAACACCTGGCGACTGACGGCTAGTGCCCCAAACGCCTGTCCGAGAGCAAAAGACTGATGTAGGGTGTGGCTCAAAATCAAAGAGTCAGGGTTACGCAGGTTTTGGTCCTCGCTTCCATTTGTCTATTTGCCAGGGCACCATTTTGGGTACCATTGTTTAATCCACAGCCATTTGTGGAAATGGAGCTTCAGCTTTGCAACATGTTGCAGCTGAGACACTCCAGTCCTGGCAGCACTTCCTGGTAGCCTCGGCTCAATTCTGCTTTGGCCGAATCTTCATATTTAGATCCTGAGCCAGTGGCCATTCCTCAGCCAACTGTGCGCCTCGAGTTCAAAATACATATCCAACTGGGGGATCCGGACCCACATATCTTAGCTCTTGACAGAAGGCCTGCACTTTCATTGACAGTCAAAGCTCAGGATGCTTCAAAAGAAGGCACAACTCCAGAGACAAGCATCAAAAACATGCATCCACACAAGCACATGTGGCAACGCGTAGGTCGATGCCTGGCATCCAGCAAATTCAGCATAGGTCGATGCCTTGGAATCAAGGTGAGAAGGTGCCTTGATATGACAAGAACGTGCAACGCGTGTAGCCATGCTAGCCACATACAACTGCGATCGCCGGACAGGCGAGGAGCAAGATTGCTTATGCTTCCAACCAAAGCTAGAAACTATCATGTGGACCAAGAAGGAGAACGCACGCGTTTGACCGAAGTCAAACGACTTTCTGAGTCTGTGGCAAATTCTGCTTTCCCAACTGTTGCCGGATCAAGCGTCTGCACTTTGGCAGCAGGTGAACGAGATTGAACCTGGCACGTGCCAAGCTCTTTCTTCTGGCAATTATTTTAACGACTTCTGCGGTGCATGTGGGTGGCTCGTCTTTTTTTCAGTGGATACTCCTTGTGCAGTGATTTCAAGGGAAGCCAAAGGGAAATGAACCAGTTTTGGGTTCCCCTATTTTACGACAACCCCATGTTGCTCAAAACACCCTCAGCATGACGCAGGCCAATGCCACCAACCAGCACATGGCAATGTTGCACACAGAAGCACGCTCATTTGTTCATTGGCTTACAAGCGGTAGCAGGTGATGGAGGCACCCTTTCGCCATCCTGAAACTGCACACCATCTCCACGTCTGCGCACGTGTCGGAGATCAACAGTGCCATACAATTACCCTTCCTCCCACGTTGCCATGGCACCTGTGGGGAGGTACTTGGAAGATCAATTTCCTCTTGGAGGGAGGCCCTACCGGGTGTCATGTTAGTGGAGGAAGGGTATCATATTGCAATGTGCACATGCGCCCCTTCCTCCTGGCAGCGCATCGCACATTTGCTCCAGCAAGGGTCGCTCTGCAGGTAGCACTTGGCCATCGCCGGGAGCTCCAACGTGCATCTCCTACCAGCGCTGGCAAGTGAACGCCTCTCACAGCTTTGCGCTGAGAGAATCCTGGCCCAATGCGTTCGTGCCATCTGAGGCCCAAAAGTTCGTGCCAAGCGGTGCTGAGCGGCGAGTCGGACGGCGCTTCGTGCCGTGTCGGACGGCGCTTTGTGCCGCGTGGGACGGCGGCGGCAATGGCCAGAAAGGAAAGGAAGCAAAACGCGCAGCAGACTTGGCGACTTGAGCTCTCCGCGTCGGAAAGCGGCGGTCGGTGTCGGACGCGAAGGATGTGTGTCGGACGGGGGGGGGGAAGTAAGGTCTCCGTGGCACCTGCCACTACGTGCGTTTTAGGGGCAAGAGCAAAGGCTCAGCTAGGAGGGGTATTAAAAACCGCGCAGCCCAACAATCCCTCATGCTTTCTTGACGCTAGGGTCACACATGACAAAGGCTTGATCTACCTCAAAGCCGGGTTGTCTGACTGGCACGGCAAGCTTGTCTGACCCGTGCATCGGCGTTGTCTGACTCGCGCACTGAGTTGTCTGATTCGGGCTGTCTGACTCGCTCTCTTGTTGTCTGACACCGTTGACTCCCCAAACTGTGCCAGCCTCGGCAGTGTCACTGAGCAGCCAAGATCCTTCACCTTGTGATCCGAGTACACTAGCTCTTGCAGCAGGTTTTGCACAGGCATTCAATGATTACAAGAGCAATTTGAATGACCTTTGGCAAATGCCTGTGCTTATGCAGCGAAGGCACCATCAGTAGAGGGCTTCTTGAGAGTGAGAGAGCCTTCAACGCTCGCATCTCGCTAAGATGCATTGCCAAGTCCAGAAAAGACAAAGCCTTTGGGGCTCAGAAGATAAAGAGGCTGCGATAGAGCCTCGGCACAGCACCTTTTTCGCTGCCAAAATTTCTGGCAGCATCACCCACCTGGCTGGCCAAGAGCTGCTCCATGCGGCTCCAGGCCTGCAAAAAAAAGAGTCGATCTGCTCAACCCCCAAAACCCGAAAAGGCCACTCTTCGCGGGAGGTGTTTTCGCGGAGTCACCGTTCACATGTAGTTGTCGGAGTCAGCACCACAAAAAACAAAAATCGCAACTTCCCAGTACCAAGGGCTAAGTAGAAGCAAAAAGATTGGTTCCCCAGCTCCGGCGGGAAAGTCATGACTTCTCAAGGTATTGAGCTGCAGATCAAGAACACAGAACGAGCGCCCAAAAGATCCCAGCAAGGAGGTTTTATACGACCGTGCTGGCCATGTGCTGAGCGGCATCACTTAGGCTGGGGTTGACCACGTCACAAAGGATCGTATGGAAACCGCGAGCGATTCCATGTGCGATGATCTTTCGCGGCGCTTCAACCAACAACAATCTCTTAGCGGGAAAAAAAGACGAACAAACAAAAACAATCCCCTTAATGAGATGTCCAGCACATCTCATCATTCACGTGTCCGGTGGCCTTGTGGGCCAGGTGCTCGGTTTGCACACACACCACTGCCTCTCGAGAAAAGACAGTGCCCCATTGGCCCCTTGTCTCCCTCACCTGGCAAAGCTGCAGATAGAAGGGCCAGGCCAAGGATGCCGAAGCTCGCAAGCAGCCCAACGCCTGCCGCAACCATCTGGAGGGTTGACAGAAATCCGTCCATTTCGCACCGCTGTTCAGATTTTGTGGAATCCCTGGAAACGCAACTAGCAACAAACCTTATGGTTTCAACCATGGTTTCAAAGTGGTGCTGGATTTCGTCCATCTATAGTACGTTTTCCACTCACTTGCCCAAAGGACCCAGAAATAGAGGGTGACCATTTTGAGGCCATGATTAAGAATGGGCAAAGATCCAGGCAAAAAAGCTTAAGGTGAGATTTTGGTCGGCTCGCTTTCAACTGAGTCCAGTTGCCGGAAATTGGCTGTGGCTCAAAAAACCGGAATTCCAAAATGGAACCCTGGTAAGTGGAATCACGGATCAAAACCTGCGGATCAAAACCCCTCCGATTGAATTTAATTTCGATTGCCACGCCCAAATGGGTCAGCTTTGGCTTCTAGGCATGTGTGTGTGAGGCATGTCAGAAACCTCCAAGCATCACGAGCTTTGCCCAGGGACGAGCTGGTGGCAGGCGCCCAATTCCAATCTATGCGCCTCGGTGCAAAGTCCAGGGACGAGGAAGAAGGTCGGGGTGTCTCCGTCTCGCTTTCGCAAGGCCTCGTGACGGATCGGTTCAGCCAGCGGATCCCGGACTGGACTCGGTTCCCCGCTTGGATTTGTTTTTGTTGGTTCGAGAGGCAGGGAATGAGAAACGGAAGGCGCCCCTATAAACCACATGGATCCTGTGCTTTCCTTTAAGGAAATCATTCCCAAGACCCGGAAGGGTCATTCCCCACCTATCACCAGAAAGTGTTGAGTACTGGGGTACACTTCACCCCAGGAATCGGCTCTGTTTTTTGGGAACTCGAGCTATGGGTTTAAGTCTACGGAAAACGACAGACTTGGGCCTAGCCTCTGCAAGGGTTCCCAGGCGCCGGAGCTCCTCGTGGCAGCAGAATGGCGATCGATCGAATTCACTCGCTCACGTCCTCCTTTTTCGATGGACACCAGGCATCCCTCTCTGTAGAGACGGCCTGAGGTGCAAGCACCGAGTTGCACGTTTGCGGACAAAACCTGCAGCCAAAGTTCCAGCAGGCGGCAGGCCAAACGCCCTTCGTCTGTGATGGGCAGCTTGTCTGCGACCGTCGTCACAGGAGAAGTCAGGTTCTTGCTGTCTGCCTATTGCTGGTGCGGGGAAATACGAAAAGTGCACGGAAACGCGGAGTCGGAACATGCATCGCGATCATTGGACAGGGTGCAAGTCTGGTGCCATCGACGAATAAAGGAGGTGGAAGTCCATGCTGCGTCAGAAGTCCAATGCGAGAGGACCATGGCTGATGCTCCCGATTCTTCCCTCGGCATTCTGCGAGTCTGCCAATGCATCAAAGCTCAAGATACTTAAGCGCTTCACCTTCTTGGAGCACCGCCTTCCACACGAAGGGCTTCTTTTGAGCCCACAAAAACTTCTTCGGCCTCCGAAAGCCACGTACAAGTGATTTTGAAGTTTGATGAAATTCCTGGGATTCCGGGCTGGAGATAGCGACCAACCAGCTCCAGGTTGGCTTCCTGTCCAGCTGAGTCGCAATCAAACCTGGTACTAAAATGGTCTACCCAGAACAATGTGCAGGATTAAGAAGGCGGCCGCAGCTATTTCTGGTTGAGATCGTCCCTTACTAACCTTCATCTACCCGGGTTTTGATTGTGGCTCAGCTGACCAGCTGCCTAAAATCCTAGACCTTCCCCTTACCATCAATTCCGGCAAGGTCCTTCACCTTCTTCACGGTGGCCTCGCTATCGGCGAGTGTCACCTTCGCTTTGCCACTTGGGTAGGGTTCAAATTTCCACCACCTTGTGACTGCGGGATTGTCCTTGGTTCCATTTAGGGCAAGCCATGTTGGGGTTAGCCTATTCTTGACCCACAGCCAGAAAGGTAGTGGTCAAGCCAAGTTGCGGTGTATCTTTCTGTGGCAAGATCCAGGTCACCGCATTCTGCCGTCAGCCCGTTCAGCTGTGGCGCTGCTTGCAAACCTGATGACCGCGCGAACCAAGGCGTTCTTTGCCCCGAAGCGAGCGACTCAAGTTCGCGCAGGCCGCAGGCCGCGCCTTTGAGTTGCACTACAGAACCGGTCAGTACCTGCGCCCAAATCTTTGTCTGGCGCAAAACTCAACTGCGCCCAAATGGCTGTGGGTCAAAAAGAGGTTCCCAAAATGGAACCCTGGTAAATGGAAACATGGACTAAAACCAGCGGTTTCTTGGTGGTTTAATTTTGACCCATACCCAAAAGTGCACAGGCCTGGCGGAGGTTTTCTACCTTCAAGCTCTTCACGGAATTGTCCGCCAAGATCACCTGGCAGCGACCTTGAAAGGCGAGCCGAAAGTGGGGATAACAATAAAAACAAATCCAGTAGTGATAGATTCCCTTTAAAACCAACAGGGGAAAATAAAACAATATTCTCAACCAAATGCTGCTAATGCTACTTGCTGGGCCACTGACCTGTCGCGCCATCCAGGACAGCAGCCACCGTGCCAGTCTTGCCATTCAGGTTTGGAGCCTTTGAAAGGCTGTGGAGAATTACTGCCTCAGCGTGCTGATGTCATACACAAAATGCAGTTGTTTCAATCGTCACACACACAATGATCATGGTTCATTGCAGTCTGAGTGAAGTGCGGATCCCTCTTTGGGTCCAGTAACTGGCGTGCAATGCATGCACAAGCTGATCTCACTTGACCCATTCATATTGGTTAACACGTGTCTGGTGCTCTCTGCAATCGCCATACGCGCCAAAATATGGCTGTGGGTCAAGCATATGTACCCTACATGGAATCCTGGTAACCGGAAACATGGACTACAACCTGCGGTCTGTTGGTTTAATTTTGACCCATACCCAGATCGCTGAAGTAAAGTCATGCCCTCAGCCTCGCCCAGTCCCCGCCGGAGTGGCCCCTTTCCTGGGCAAGCGCCCGATCGGTAAATGGACAGGACATCTCAACCTGCGGTCCAATTCCTGGCTGAAAATGTTGACCTGTACCGTTACATGGATCATCTTGTCCCCATGCGACCACTTCCACGGACTCCACTCCAAAGACTAAACCCTGCGGCCCCCTGGTGGTTTCATTTTGACCCAGACCCAATTGAGTCACAATCAAAACGCGGTAGTAAAATGGTCAATCCCCAGAACCATGTAAGGAAATACGAAGACGGATATCCGCAACTAAATTTAAGTAGATCAGGTTCCATTTGTCAAAATGTGTTTGTTCCCATGGACTAAAACCTGCGGCCCCCTGGCGGCTTAATTTTGACCCAGACCCACTTGGCTGTGGCTCCAAAAATACGTACCCAAAATGGAACCCTGGTAAGTGGAAACATGGGCCAAAACCTACGTAACCCCTACTGTTAAGTTTTGAGCCACACCCACTTCGCCTCTTCGCCGCACCCTGGGAGCATGGCAACTTCTTCCGCGGCGCCAGTCCGAAGAGCGGATCCCAAAGCCCTTCATCCTGCGGTTGCTCCTGGGATGGTACGGATGGAGAAAAAACATCCATCCATTTCGCGCCGCCGTTTCAGAAACCCGGGTTTCTGATTCCGTTCCCCATGCCAACAAAGGTTCTAATTGGTTTCAGCCATGCTTTGATTTCGTGGCGCGAACAGTTGTCGAAACCATCCACAAACGATTGGGTGATAAAAAGTCGGTCCTTGGCAGCTCTTTTGCGAGTGAACGCCTGCGACGGGTTTCCCTCTCGCGACTCGTGTCATGGACTGCAAGCGGAGCCTCCAAACCACCGAGACTCGCAAGACCTTCGTCGGCACCGCGCTCGCCCTCGGAGTCGCTACCTTTCAGGTCCTGCTGCTTGGTTGCTTGGGCCAAATTTATGATACGCACCCAGTAAACCCGAAGTCACTGGAACCCCTCTTGGCCAAGGTCCTCTTCGCTGTCATCCTCTCCCTCGAGACCTGGAAGAGTCGAATGTCTGCGTGCGAACTCGGACAGCTGTGGCGAATCAGCTCTGTACTTTAGTCACAGGAAGCGGATCTCTGCGCGCAACAACTACTTGCGGCAAGGCAATATATCGTCTGGCTGGTTGCTGTGGGGTATGCAAAAGCCTTTGATGGCCAAAGCATTGGGGCTATTCCAACGCCTCGATCGGTTTGAGGGTGAAACTCCTCTTCACCTCAGGCAAGTGCCGTTGTGACAGATTCGTCGCCTGGCCTTTCCACATGGGTGTGTCCTTTTTGGGGGAGCCCCCAAATGGTGGCTTGCCGCTTTCCTGGTGGCTTTCTTTAACACCAACAAATCATGGAGCACCAACTCTACAAACGACACATTCACATGGCTGTGGGTCAAAAATATGTGCCCAACATGGAACCCTGGTAAATGGAACCATGGACTGAAATCTGCGGTCACCTGCAGGTTCAATTTTGACCCATGCCCACATGAAAAACTTGGGCACTTGCCGTCGTCGTCGTCGTCATCGCTGCCAGGGTCATCCCACCTCACTGCTGCGACATTCTCAAGGGCTGAAGCTGGTCGTCTTGCTGGTTCGATAGGCAGGCGCCCTGAGACATGGAATGCCCCCCGAAAAAATAAAATAAAAAAATAAGGGAATCCCCAAACTCATTCCGCAAGCGCGGCCTTCTGGCTTCTCTGCCCGGCAATCTCGGTGGACGCCGTGGACCCATGATGTCATGCTGCCACACCTCTCATATGCGCTGAAAGCACCATACCCCGTTGGGAAAGTCAGTGCTACTGTCAATGCTTTGGATGTACGTCGCTGTGTAGAAACTCATTGGCGGTACTCTCATTGTAGATGAAAGTCGTGTCCAAACACGTACCCTCTGCAACTTTCCTCATGGACACCTAAGAAAGTAGGACCATGTGCTTATCATGTGGTCTTTTGTCACTTGACAGCTTGAGCCCGAACAGCGAATTGACATGCAGATATACAGAATGCATGAATTGGTCTGCAACCAGCCGCAAGCAGAAAAAAACCGCTCGGCCATCTGAAACCGATCTGCATTCTGCATTAACATGCCAGAGCACCGATCCCCCAAATGGTACAGCTCCAGCACTGCCTGGGCAAATGGGTGTGGGTCAAAAATCGGCTAACCCCAAAATGGCGCAAGCCCTGGTAAATGGAGCCAAATACTAAAACCTGCGGCCCAATTCCTGGTTTGATTTTGACCCAAATGAACATTCTGCCCATCGCTCCGTAGCTTCGGAACTTCCTCGAGTCAAGCTTGAGGCGCCCGCCGAGAAGCTGGAGAGCGACATGGTGGCTGCCTGAGCACAAACCACCTCTGGGCCAAAAGCCCGCGGCCACCTATTTTGATGTTCAGCATTTCAGGGTTTTGACCCACAGACATATGGCCCTGGGTCAAATCTGGGTTAGCCCCAGTGAACATCAACCAACCACTCAAATAGGTTCTAAAATGAGTGGTGAATTCACCTACCCCAAAATGCGATGCCATTGGTTTTGATCCACAGACATGTCCCTGGCACAAAAAAATAAGAAAAAAACATCCGGCCATGGGTCAAAATTCAACCACCAGGGGACCACAGGTTATGAACCCTTCGTCATTTGGCAATGGCGAACATGAAAACATGATCCACAGAAATGCCACGGGTCAAAACCCAAATCGTACCCGTGAACAACCCCATCCAACCACTAAAACAGGCTCTAAAATGGGCGGTGAATTCGCCTACCAACCAAAATGGGATCCCAAAACGGTGTTGACAACCACAGCCATCTGGCTTCGATCGATGAGAAACCTGAGGCCCTGGCATCTATGTCTAGTGTGTAAACATACTGCAGGAAGTCTAGAAGCACCTCCTGCCGTGCCTTTGGGACAAAGCTGGCCTTTTGTCTGCACCCTCCCTGCCACTAACAGAAGGCACCTGGAGGGTAACTGGAAGATCAACTTCCTCTCTTGAAGGGACTCTCTGTGAGGTGCCGTGGCAACGTGGGAGAGAGGGTAGAAAAGGGAACACACTCTTCACAACCCCGATCCGCCCCCAGCCAACGCTAAGGCATCGGGCATTAGGCATTACCACCTGAAGCATCTCGATTTTGGACCCTGGTAACCTTGTTTTTCACTTGTACATGTCACAAAAAGGTCCACACAAAAGCATGTTTGAACAAACGTCCAATGCCTTCAGAATTGCGGTATGCAAGTCATGACTGGACTCACACATCAAAGACGCGTGGTGTGTATGCAGTAGACGCTTGATGCCATACGCCGAACTTCCATCAGAACTCAGGATCTCGCAATGGGAATATCCCCGCCGTCAACTGTCACTTTGCCAGCTGCTTCCTGATACAAGCCAAGTCGGCTGCCAATGTTTGTCGGTCACGCATGAGGCAAGCTACGCACAACCATGACAGTGTCTACGGCCTGCCTGCTGGGACACGTACATGTACAAGGATGGAGCCTTGCGTGCACGTACCAGGAGTGTGCATGTCCAAGAAAGTGAGGCAGCCACGTTGTGCTTCAGGACGCAGAGATGAGCATAAAGCACGCTGCCTTCACCTTGCAATCAGAGTGCTCAGCAGCAGAATAGCATGTGGTCCAAAAGGGAAGTAACATCCAGCATGATTCCTCATCTTCATTGCACGCCTTGATCCACTCCTGGGACCCTCCAAACATTAAGCAAAGCGGCTGCTGCGGAAGCAAACATCGGCCAACATCTCACCTAACAATCGCAGAAGTCACTCAGTGCTCCCTGTGCCGATGCAGAATGCTCAAGTGATGACACCGTCTTCCAAGTGCAGACCAAGATTCTGTTCACAAGCGTGGAGAGACTGGCTGCCAATGACCTGACAAGAAAGCATTGCAAGTCAGCCATTGCACGCACGTGGCTTGCATGCAACAACTCTGCAACATCTCTGAGACGTGCGCTGGTCTGGCTCAGTAATGGCCAGGTTATGAACCTTGCTCGTCATTTAGGCAATAGCGAACATGAAAACATCATCACAGAAATGGCTGTGGCTCAAATAAATCTACCAAAATAGCACCTTGGGAAATGGAACCAAAGACTCAAACCTGCGTAGCCCTACCCCTTTTTCATTTTGAGCCACACCCAAATAGCAAGGCTCCAAGACTGAGCTTCCCTGCACCACCGCAAGCAACTCTCAATACTGCCTGGCAAAGTTTCGTTCAGGTGCTGACTTGCCGCAAGACGAGAATCATTCGACCCGTCCACTTCTCCCTGCCTTCCCTCTAAAGCCAGCCGTGACAAGAGTAGGCGTGGGCCTCAGTGCGTTCGCACTTGCGAATCTTTGAGCTGAATTGGATTCAAATGAAAAAGACAACTCTCAGAACAAGGCTGACTATGAAATCTGGTAAGTGCTCTTCTTGTTCTAAAGACCCTAAGAATATCTATTCGGAGCCTGCTACGATGCACCATAAGCCTGGCTGAGTGGTTCGTTCAAAGGATTGCAAGTGCTTCTTAGGCTAAAGCCCAGAGATTGACAGGCAAGGGTCTGTCTGACAAGACCATGGTGCATTTCCTGCAATCTCATAAGGCATTGGCTGATATGGATAGCCGTCACTATCAACTGGCATTCCATCACAACCTGAAGTCAGGCGAGTGATGGGTACAGTCGTCAAAACCATGACAGGCAAAAGTAGGATAGAGATGTCATGAGGCAAACCTCTCAGAAAGAGAGGTAGAATACAGTGGCTGTGGGTCAAAAATAGGTACCTAAAATGGCTTGCCCTGGTAAATGGAAACATGGACCAACACATTCCAATTCCTGGTGGTGTTATTTTCACCCATACCCAAATGGCAGCGACTTTTTTCCTCGAATGAAGCTGAGAAAACGCCAGCCGAAGCTTCGAAGCTTCAGCGGTTCTCAGCTGACAGTGCTCAAAGCCTGAAACACAGCTGCTTGGCAAGGTATGAGATCCCAAAACCTTGTAACTGGGGTCCAGTCCTATGAATCAAACAAATTAGATCACCAACAAATCCGTGATTGCCAATGTCAAGGCTTAGAGCGGGGATGCCTTTGGTGGCAATTCACAAGTGGCAAAATCTAAGTGGCGCTTCGTCCTGGCATCGCCAGTGTCAAAGTACCAATTCAATTCTTGCAAGCATGGATCCAGATAGCCGGATCAGCATTCTCTCACAAAAGTAGCCATCGACTCGGAGGTTTTCTCACTTCAATCTGCGCTTTGGCCGGAAAGCTCCCAGATTTCTGTTCAAGAAAGCCTGGTTGCCAGCTTCGCTAGATCAAAGATCAACCTCATCCGCGGCCATTACAGCTTGGACTTGGCAGCCTCAATGCTTCCACGCTTCAGTCAGGACATCGCGAAATGCAACATGTGAAAGTGAACGCTGCTGGCGCTTGCAAGTAACTAGTGGAAAGCAAATACAGCTCCTATTCAGAAGGCTCGCTTGTCAGCACACTTAGCGTTGCAAGCTTTCCCAATTGCAATACTGGCAAGGCTTGAGGCATTCTATGCTGCTGTTGATTTGTGTGTGAATGTGTCTGCGCCCACAAAGACAGCATGTTGCAAGTAGAGGCAAAAAGCTCAATCTGGCCATGTAGCATCATCTGCCGAAACAATTGTGAAGGACGCTACATTCAGATTCTTGGCGCGCTGCCTGAGAACCTGCCACGACTTCTGCTGACTGGTCAGCACTATAATGGCATCCGCCCATCCGCCCGCCTGCTTCTGAATCTTGCCAGTTGGAGTCCTCAGAAGCTTAAGCTGGACGTGACATACATCATACATCTCTGCTTCCGAACACCCACACACGAGTAGCAATCAAAACTCGGTACTAACATGGTCTACCCAGAACCATGTACAGAACTAAGAATCCGCAACTATTTGTGGCAAGGATTATCCCTTACTAACCTTCATCAATCCCTGGGTTTTGATTGTGGATCACATGCTTTCATTTGCCGAGCGTCTTGACACCTTCAAGGCTTTCGAAGACAAAGGTCCGAGGCACCATGTAGCGGGGCACTCAGTCAAAAACAGTGACGTGTGTTTGCGCATCAACACAACTACATTCAAATTCTTCACCTGCAGAGCTGTACTTGTATCCAAGAAACTCTGATCCCGGCACCAATTGTAGAGCTCCTCACATATCAAAATGTCAGCTCTCTCCCAACCCGCATCCGAGTCCGTCCCTTGAACTTTTCATTGGCTGATATCTTTGCAACGCTTGACATGGCCATTAGAAAAGCCACTAAACATATTGTATTTCCCACTGAATGGAAACAGTTATCCATGGTCACTTGGGGGCCAGGAATATTGATCAACCCCCATGTACTGTACCTCAATGTCATACTACACAATCAAGCTGACTCGAGGAATGCGCCTTGTCAGTCAGCATCTCTCCGGGTCTGCAAACAACCCAGGCGACCGGGGTTTCGCCCCACTTCTCATCGGGCCTAGCAGGGGCATAGGTATGTTGCGGTCCCTCATGGTCAGGACTAATCGAGGTTGACCAACTTATACCTTATGCCTGCAAACTAATATCTCAAATGTAACAGGCAGAGTCCTGCCCATGCTTGCAAACGCTTGAGCAAAGCATGTTACATTGAAAAAATGCAGACAAAAAACATGTGAGCGACTCTACAAACCTCCCATGAACCCCTATGTCGTATCAGGTTGCTTGTGCGCGAGCTTGCGCTTTCCTTGCGCGACCCAAATTTTAGCTTACGCGGCAGTCAGCGAGCATGTCAAGCCCACGCATCGCCTACGCGTCGGCGTTTTGAGAGTTTCCCCTCAAGAATTGCTTACGCGGGCTCCTTTTCCCATGCAACCGCCCGAACTGTTCAAGATGGCGTGGATGACTCTGAGAAAGCGATGACGAAGAAATAGCCTCAGGAGTTTCAGCAGCTTGGCGTTGTTGTTCTCATTGCAGGTCAAGAAACGGCTTATGCGGCGGCGGCATCTATGGCGAGGGCTAGCGGGCAGCCGAGCAAGGCGAGCTCACGCGAACCTTCTGCGCCTGCTTACGCGAGCTTACACGCCCGAGCCCCCCTTAGTTTTGCTAAATCTGCGGTTTCAGAAGCCTTTGTTTGTCCTTGTAAGGGTTTCAACAGCACCTGGCATGAGCCTCAAGAGCTCCCGATCAAAGTTCTGCTGGTTTTGTTTTCTAATGGTGAACACATGCGGTCTTCGACGTCTTCCTGCAGCCAAAGTTTCCGGGCAAGTTGCCAAGCTCGACTAGGTTGAAAAAACACAAGCCACCAATCAACACATACGACATGTGTGAAAGAACATGCTTACAAAGTTTACCAAGCAGTTTCGAGGAAGAGCTTACCACAAAGTGCTTACGCCGGCTTACGCCGTGCCGGGTTTTGCTTGCGCGGGGCCTTGTTATGACACAACTCTTGCTTGGGATGCAAAGGTTTTTTTAGAGCTGCTCACGTGCCTTCTTAACAAACAACCCGTGCCTTGCAACCACAGCGACTTCAGAGATCTTATCATGCTTCATCATGATGCTCTCTACCTCAAGCGAGGAGATGTTCTCTCCTCCAGAAATGATGATGTCCTGAAACCGGACACCCGTGAGTCAATCAAAGCAACCTATTGCAAGCGAAAGTGCCCGGAGAGAAAGTCTTGCCGACGCATGTCCTTGGACCGATCTTTCAACTGAATGTAGCCATCAGGATGTCTGACGCCCAGGTCACCAGTGTTGAACACCTCGCGCCACGCTTTCTCCGGTAAAGTTGCTTGAAGTGAGGGCGAGTTGCTGTCAATCCCTGAACTATGCAATCAGGCAGCGCCGCCCGTGAACTCCTTTGCAGTCGCTTCCGGGTTCTTGAAGTAGCCTCAGACTGAAAGCCAAAACGGTAAAGCTCGGGGACATCTATAGCAAGTGGTGTCCCTTCTGCGGAATGCCAATCTCAAACAATCACACGCTACAAGAACAAAAGCAACACACACGCACACACACACACAGACACAAATACAGACACAAACACACGCACACAGGCACAGGCACAGGCACACGCATTGTGTCGAGGCTCCCTTCATGATTGTGTTGCCGCTCATGACGATTTCGCCAATGGTCCGCCCATCTCTGGGAACTGGCTTTCGCGTTGATGGATCAATCACTTCGAGGTACTCCAACCTGACCCCGATGAGTCGCAGTCGGGGAGAAGCATGGTATTTGGAATCCAGAAGAAAAGTCCGGCTAAGTCAGGTAAGAAACTCCAAGCAGCGAACTCCCTGTCGTGCCAAAAAGCCTGCTTTCTCCTCCATGGACTTTGAGTTCCATTCATCTTTCCACTCGCACATTACACCTGTCAGGGTTCATTGACCAGTCTGGTATTGCACCCCCCTAAAACACAAGTGTAAAAGGCATAAAGCATCCTGACAAATAATAGGTTCAACCGTCACCTGTGCCGTAGGCCTCAGTCAGGCCGTAGACATGACCTAGGCTAGCGCAATCGCCCACGTCCATAGTCAAATTTGGCATGTAGACAAACGTGCGCTCCGAACTTCGTCTTGAAGCCGTCATCAACACACCAACGTTGAATTCACCTACTCAACCAGTACTTACACACACAAGGATATGATCTGTTGTGATATTGTTAGCCCTTCAGGCAGTTTGGGGCACACTTCTTTTCCCCATCTCTCTTTCTCTCTCTGTCTCTCTCTTTCTCTCTCTCTCTCTCTCTCTCTCTCTCTCCCTCTTTCTCTTTCTGCCCGCTCTCTTTCTCTTTCTCTTGTTTTTTCTCCTTTCTTTCTCTTTCTCCTCCTCTTTCTCTTTCTCATCCTATGTCAATTCCTCTTCCTCTATCTCTTTTCGCAAGTCAGTACGAGAGGAATACTTTGTTCAAATACTTGGAGAATGCGAGTAGCTGGAAAGCTAATACCAGGAAGCTATCAGCTGTCTTGCGCCTCTCTCTTTCTCTGTCCTCCCTTTCGCTTTCTCTTTCACCTTTCGCTTTCTCTTGCTCGCTCTTCTTGCCTCTCTCTTTCTCTTTTCTCTTTTTCCTTGATGTTTTTTTTCTCTTTTCTCTCTCTCTCTCTCTCTCTCTTTCTCCTTGATGTTTCTGTTTCTCTTTCTCTTTCTCTTTGTTTGCCTTCCCTTTCTTCTTTATCTTTCTCCGTCCCTTTTCTCAATCTAATCGTTTTTTGCGTTTTAATATTTTCTCTTCCTCTTGCTCTCTCTTTTTGCTTCTCTGTCTGTTTCAACTCTTTCCCCCTCTCTGTCTACTGAATAAGAACACAAAACAACATCTCTTCGAGGTTCATCCCCGACCTCAAAAAAGTCAGCAGAGCGTTCCGCTAGAGGAGCGAAAAGTGCCGGAAAAATATCGTTCAACAAGCTGTTCAGGGGCGACCCTCCCAAAGTGCGCAAACAGTTGGCTGTGGGTCAAAAATAGGCTAACCCCAAAATGGGTTGCCCTGGTAAAAGGAACCAAAGACTCAAACCTGCGGTCCCCTGGTGGTGCCGAAACCTCGGCCCAAGGGGGCAAGGGCGCTCAGATCTCGTTTCTCACAGCGAATCTTCGCTTTACCCGTGCGCTCTGTTTGAGACTAGCCTCACACAAGCAGCAACCCACACAAGCAAGGCCCAGCCCAGCCCGCCCAGCCCCCAGCAGCGGCCCACGCCCACAACAAACAAACTAGCCTTGTCTCAGAGACTAGCCTCTGGCCCAGCCCAGTCGCCTCAGGCCCAGCCCAGCAACCCAAGCAGGCGCATCCCAGCCTGTTCAGCCACCAACCAACCCAAGCAAGGCCCAGCCCACCTCGCCCTGTCCTGTGCATCGCCTTGCCCTTGCCTCGGTGATTCCTGCGGGCCCATGACATCAATTGGTCCTACGACGCCAGAACCTGTCCATGCCTGAATCGCCACTTGACCAGCTCTGCTGCTTGCAGTCGAACCACAGACGCTGCGCGCTCGGCTTGGCCGAGGCGGGCAACACGCAGCGTTTACAATTCCAGGCTGCGAAGTGATGCGCGCGGCTGTGCGGATGGTCCCGTCTTCGAGCCCGCTCCGAGCCCGCCTCTGTCAGGCGTCGGCCCCCCAAGTTTCGCGCTTGCTGGTTCACGCGCGGTGTTTCTATATTCTAAGCACTGCGCAAGCGCATGCGTTCTTCGGAGCAAGCTCAATTAGTTCGGAAGTTCTTAAACAGGACACAACAGCATGTGTCCTATGTCAGAGTGCTGCAATACGTTCGCACCCCACAAAAACAAATGCCAGACTGAGCAGCAAAAAGAGAAAAGCTAACGAACCCTGGGCCACATCAGGCAAAGTGTTCGTCATTGAGGAGGGCGTCTCACTTCGATGCCGTACTCGGTCATTTTGGCGAGAACCGGGGCCGGTGGCGCGGCAGCGCTGGTCATGAACTTGAGATCTTGCTGCCAAGTCCGGCCACCCTGGTACTGCAGCCTCATGCGCATGCCAAGCACTCACTGCACTTGGAGGAAGGTACATATATGGGTGTGGAAATTCAACAAGGGTTTCGCAGGTTTTAGTCTGTGGTTTGCCAAGGTGCCAGTTTGGTAGTGTTTTTACCCACAGCCATGTGGTGAGGAAAAGGTCCTTCACATTTGATGACCATTGGTTGGAAACCCACCAGAAAGATGTGATATTTCCATTACACGGGGCAAAGTTACCTATGGTCAAAACTGGGGGCGGCAAAGGGAATGGTCGCAACCCCATGTATCCAAATTGCAGATCCGAGCTTTCAGCATCTACCTCATTTTCGGGATTTGAATGCCGCGTAGCATGGTACTCATCACAATGGGGGCGCCGCAAATATGAGTGACTCCATGCTCCTTCACAGCGGCAAATATGTCATCAGCTACCACCTTGCGAAGGCATACGTTCACGCCCGCAACAGCTGCCACAGCGTAGGGGAAAAACCAGCCGTTCAAGTGGAATATGGGAACAGTCCAGAGGTACACACAGTGGCGGTGTAGGGGCCATTTGACGATCAGGTGCACACTTTTCAAGTAGGCGCCGCGATGATGAAGAAGAACTCCTTTCGGGTCTGCTGTTGTGCCGCTTGTGTAGCACAACGACAGCGTGTCCCACTCATCCTCTGGCGGTCGCCAGTCGGCCATGGCGTCACCTTCCGCGAGCAACTGCTCATAGTTCATCGCGCCGATCAAAGGCCCGTTTTCGCTGCAGAGCGGGTCATCCACATCCACCACGAATGGTCGCTTTTCTGCAGGCATTGCAGAAAGCACGCCAAGCACCAGTTTGCTGTACTCCCGGTCAACAATCAGGATCTTGGCTTCTGAATGCCCAAGCATGAAGTTCAAAGTGCGAGAGTCCAGACGGTAGTTGAGAGGATTCAGCACCGCTCCGGTCATCGGAATTCCAAAGTGCGCCTCAATGTTCTCTGGAGAGTTGTTCAAAAGCACTGCCACCACCTTGGCAAACCATAGACACCTCCCACCGGCGAGTCCATGGGTTTGGTGCACAGACCCCTGTAAAAACACACTACTTTCCTCTTGGAAAGGGGGTTTGTGCACTTCCATGCTAGTTGGTGGGAGGGTATTTCGAACACTCACACCTACCCAAGCAGGCTGTAAACCACCTTAGCAAGGGATGGACATATGGGTTGGAGTCCAAAAGTGGACACCTGTACAAAAAGGGTCTCCGGAACCAACGTGGGCGGCAATGCACTCCATGCACTCGCTTAAAGAGAGTGGCATCACCTCGACCAACTCCACGAGCTTGAAGCGCTGAACACAAGCGCCGGGAACGAGCGTAGACCTCTGCCCATGTTCTCCTGCAGATCTCTCTGCCCTTTCTTGGTTTCCCTAGTAGCCATCCCATGTATTTGGGACCTTTTGCGGAAATCCCAGAGAGTTATCAAGGCGGCTGCACCCATTTCTGGTGGGGAGTCCCTTTTACCCAAGTTTTGGGTTTTGATCGTGACTCAATTGAGACTCATTGTGAGCATTTTGTCCATGCATTTCACGCAGAGTCTCCTCAAAGGTCCATGCACGATGGCAAGCCTGCGGAGCGGATGAACCAGCAAATGCAAGCCCTAAGACGGCTTTGAAGCGATCAAATGAGCAGTGGTCTAACTCCAGTTGCTTCCAAAAGAAATATCATATCCCTTTTACGAAGGCTTTTGCCGGGCTGTCGCGGCATGAGAACTTCTTGTCGCGAGAGGTTTGATGAGGCCATCGCTTTCGCGTCGCTTTCACAGATTGAGAATTTGAAGTTCGTGCCCGCAAAAACGGGACTTCCCTTGGAGGCAAGCAGGTCCTTTCGCAACCCGTTTGTATCGTAAACGATGACTCGATTTTTCACCAACTCTTTCGCGGCCTAGCAATAGCAACATTTTGGAAACAATATGTCCTCACGAATACTACTTTCAAATGTTGGGGTTTTAGAACATCATACATCTCAAATGTGGGATGCGCGCATTTGGGCGACTATTTGTTTTGTTCCGTAAAAAGGAAACACATTGTCTTGCATATATAGTGTCTTGCATGAAAGGCTTTCAGTCTATAACAGAAATCAGGTGCAAGCAACTCCGTCGCAGCGATGCGCATCCCTAACGACTGGCCTGTCAGGAAAAACCTCAGCTGTACGCTCCAAGAAGTGAAGTGGCGTCAGAGCTGCAAAGTTCGCAGCCGTCTTGGGCGGACCGGCAGCGCCGTTCATCGCTCGAATCGGATCGGCGCGGGGCGTTCCGCCAGGCTGAGATATGGCTGCACAAACAATCTACAGCTTGGCACTGCGGCAAGTCTCGGGCCATCCCACGTGTCCTACACATTTGGCTGTGGGTCAAAACCGTTTTGGGATCCCATTTTGGGGTAGCTGCACCACCCATTTTAGAACCAATTTTAGTGGCGATTGGGATGCCTGTGGCTACGATTTGGATTTTGACCCATGGCCATTTGAATGTTCGTCAACAGTAGGGGCCCTTTTTGGTATCGCCTTTAGAAGGCGGCACGTATCGGCGGCACCAGATCCCAACAAGGCACCCCATTTGCCGCTCGCTGTCGTGGCCCTGGACCAAGATACCGTAGTTCAGGTATGTCTTTTTCTGGCAAGAGGCATGGCATAAAATTAAAGACTTCAGCAGAATACCTGGAAAATCAAAGCTCCCAGTCGCTCTGTTGGCCGCGAGAGCGGAGAATCAAAAGTCAACCAGACCCACGAGTCTGTGGGCTGTGGAATGTCTTCGTTTTCCTCGTTCCTGAAGAGCACGGTTTGTCTATATATATATATATATATACATATCATCACTTCTCATCACTCCTTCATGTGCTTGAGCTGAGTCTCCATGGCTGCCTGCAACATATTTCCTTCGGGCAGTGAGCATCCACATCTTTCAACTCTTCAATGGTCTCGGTATTTGCTAAATCTTCAAGTCTTCACGGACAGACTTGTCCACCGGGGATCCGGGGCTCCAGCCAATGGGATTGGGAGCGATGTACTTACCGAAGACCGTTTCTACCAGGCCATCCGCCAAGATGAGTGGAAGCTCGCCGGTCCCTGAGCCTTCTTGCAGATGTGGCCATGGGCCACAATTCCCATCGTGCCCCCAGTGAACGTCCCAATCCAACCCCTAAGATCACGACGAAAATATGTGGTGCAGGTGAATTCACCGAAACCCCCAAAATGGGATCCCAAAAACGGTTCAACGACCACCACTGCCATGTCATCGCAGCCCATTCCCCAGGGGCACGCGCATGGCGTATGCCGGCGAAGCAAGAGGGTGTGTCCCTTGGGCCTTGAGCCTTGAGCCTGCGCTCAGATCCCCTGCTAAAAGTTTAACTCGCGGGACAAAAATCGGAAACCCGACGACTGAACCAAAACACATCCAAAGAGATCTAAGAAGATCTAAGATCTAAGAAGATCTAAGCGGAACCGGACTGGGAGCTGGGAGCCAACAAGTCAATGTGAATTTCCTCCCTGAGGCGCCACTCTCATGAGGCTTGAGCTGCCGAGTCCAAGCTGGCCGCAGGAGCATGCGCCCCAACCTCGCGCAAGCGCCAGCGCAAGCGTTCTCGAACGGCGGGGCGCGTGGCCGCGTGGCGCAGCTTGCACATGCGGGTTGATCCAAAGGTCAACCAAAAACATGGGATGACCATTGGTTAAGGAAAACCACCAAACAGATTTGATAAGTTTAATTAGATAACATGGGCCATTTTGCCAAGGTGATGAAGGTTCCATGTGCCAAGGTGTTATCTTGGTACAGTTCTTTTATTCATAGTTATGTGGTGATGAAAAGGTCCTTCACATTTGATGACCATTGGTTGGAAAACCACCAAAAAGATGTAATGTGTTCCACATGGGAAAAGTTACCCATGCTCAAAACTGGGGCCAAAGGGAATATTGATCAACCCCGTGTTGCGTATTCCGTTTGTGCGTCTTCAAATTGGAACAATCGTCTAAGAACACATCGCATGCCGAAGGCTCCCGCAGCAAGCAATGAAACAACAACTGCAATATGGGTAGGGACCGCAGGTTTGGCAAGCCAACAAAAACCGTCCATTTTGGGCACCGATTTTTCACCCAAAGAAAGAACGCACTCCTGTTGACCTGAGCTCCGCACTGTACAAATTGCCGGTAGCTGACACTGCTAGGGAGTGCGCCTGTCATATGGCTGGTTGAAGTTGGAAGGGGAGCAACAATTTAAATTTTAGCAGTTAAGTGGGGATTTCCCACTCAACCACAATAAGCAAAAATGTAAATGTTTCCCAACAACAATGAAGAGTGGGCAGAGTTCCGCTTTTGGCCCACCCCAAGATAGACTCAAACCCCTGGCTCTCGTTTTGGGGGGGGGGAATGGGACCTCCCCTAAATTTCTGCGTCTACCCTGGGGTAGGCGCAAAGTAGAACCCTGACAGCGGCAACCATCTCACTAGTCATGGCTGCAAGAATGAGACGTCGAGGATTGCTCGGAAAGGCTTTGCCCACCTCCCCACAGGCAATATCAATGATCCTGTCGGATCCAGCATTGGAGACTCCAGAGCAATGCACTTTGCAGCTCCTCTGGTCTGCCAGTGCTTCGACCCCCGCCGGGGTTGGCAAGTGCCTTGAGATGACGACGCTGATCAACGCGCTCAGCACAGCCAGCTTGCTCTCAGGCCATTGCGGAATGCCATCAGGGTCTTTTCTTATCCTGGGATCGTCTGGGTTCATGATTCCAAGCCTTAGCCGGGAACAGTGTGATGACAGACATCAGCTGCCAGTCTTTGCTGCAAGACATGTGGTTCATCCACGCATAAATTGAATCTGTATCCATGCTCTATGCACGGTTCAGTGGCACCCATCAATTGCTGAGCCCCTGTCTGACCACAGGAGTTCGCTCCCCAGCCTGTGAGCAAGAGAAAAGTATTTGCAGAGCAAGAGAAGTCAATCATGGAGACACATACGGCTGTGGTTGTCAAAACCGTTTTGGGATCCTATTTGGGGTAGGTGAATTCACCACCCATTTTAGTCGGGATTTTAGTGGTTGGATTGAAAAGGTTCACTGGGACGATTTGGGTTTTGACCCATGGCCACATACCACTGAACCAAGAGTTGGAGCATTTCAATACCAGGCATCTGCAACCCGGAACCGGCGCCGTTGCGGCATCAATGCTGCAAAGCTACAGTATAAACGCCCATCTCTGTCCACAGTGAGCGAGTGCCTGGGAGTGTCGTGTTCCGTGGCCAAGCTGAGGCACGGTCCAGGAGCTAAGCTCTGTACGAATCACCGCAGGCCAAGCGCACAATGCCCTCAAGGCCGTAGACTTGTTGGGGAGTTGGCATGTACGGGCCTCGGGTCTGCTGCCATGGAGCTCGACTATGCGTATGACTCAAATTAAACAGGGATCCTTACATTCACCTGAACATTGCCTTGTCAATGGTGGCTTCCCTTTATTTTGGTGTTGAAAAAGCCATGTTTCAAATAGGCAAAATGTATCTTTTAAGGAGCCCTGTTAAAGAGCTGGGGCAAACCGCAGATTTTAGTCTTTGCTTCCATTTACCAGGGTGCCATGTTGGAATTCCGTTTTTTTGAGCCACAGCCATATGGCTCATTTTTGACAAACAGCTAGGACAAACCCCGCAGGTTTTCTCGTCTTTGCTTCCGTTCAGCCAGGAGCCATTTGAGGTACCAAGCCACATCTTCTCTCTTAGGCCGGGGCAGTTGTCAGCATCCACCGGCATGGCCAGCACGTCCTGCTGACTCGAAGCGGTTCAATGTTTTGGAGCCCTGACAGCCAACAGAAACCAGCGGGAACACGAAGTGCAAAGCGCTTCTGCAGGCGGATTCATTGGACACATGGTTTGCAGTGACTCCTAGGTGTGTAGAGGGTAAATGGTAAGCCACCCAACCTCCACACCGAACCACCGGCCTCAGACCAAAAATCGAGGGAAGCTGATCCACACAGCTTCTGCGGTCCTTCACACCCAGCTGGCCATATGAGCCGCCACCAAAGGAGTACACATGCCCGTTGTCGGTTAGCGCCAAGGTATGGACCTCAGCCAGCTGGGTTGACTGAGCGAACATGTGACATGTGAACCCGGTGAAGCTCCGAGCTGGCCCTGTGGATGGTTGCGAAATCCGTTCGCATTAAGACTTGCGAAACCAGCCAACCATTGGAAAATGCTGTTTTAATTTTTTTGTGAGATGTAGAGCAAGCAACAGAGCAAGAAAATAGTGATCCCAAGTTTCGGGTGGGAAAAAAAAGCAAGGAAAAAGTGATTTTAGAGCAAACAGTGGGCACTAAAAAAGCAAGAATGCAGCAAACAAGAGACCAGAAATAGCAAGAAAATAGCAAGACAATTGTGAAACAAAAAGCAAGAAAATTGTGATCAACCCTCGAAACCAGCAAATCTGCAAATCACAGCGGGAGATCACTATTTTCTTGCTTTTTTGGAGTTGGAAATCCATATTTTCTTGTTTTTTTGGGAGGCGACGACCCTCGAAACCCGGAAATCTGCAAATCACAACGGGAGATCACTATTTTCTTGCTTTTTTGGAGTGGGAAATCACTATTTTCTTGTTTTTTTTGGAGGCGACGACCCTCGAAACCCGAAAATCTGCAAATCACAACGGGAGATCACTATTTTCTTGCTTTTTTGGAGTGGGAAATCCATATTTTCTTGTTTTTTTTGGAGGCGACGACCCTCGAAACCGGAAATCTGCAAATCACAACGGGAGATGACTATTTTCTTGCTTTTTTGGAGTGGGGAATCACTTGTTCCTTGCTTTTTGGGCAGGCGATGACCCTCGAAACCCGGAAATCTGCAAATCACAACGGGAGATCACTATTTTCTTGCTTTTTTGGAATTGGAAATCCCTATTCTCTTGTGTTTTTTTTGCAGGCGACAACATCCAAAAAAGCAAGAAAATAGTGATCTCCCGCTATGATTTGCAGATTTTCGGGTTTCGAGGGTCATCGCCTGCCCAAAAAGCAAGAAAATATGGATTTCCCACTCCAAAAAAGCAAGAAAATAATGATCTCCCGTTGTGATTTGCAGATTTCCGGTTTCGAGGGTTGTCGCCTCCAAAATAAACAAGAAAATATGGATTTCCCACTCCAAAAAAGCAAGAAAATAGTGATCTCCCGTTGTGATTTGCAGATTTTCGGGTTTCGAGGGTCGTCGCCTCCAAAAAGACAAGAAAATAGTGATTTCCCACTCCAAAAAAGCAAGAAAATAGGGATCTCCCGTTGTGATTTGCAGATTTCCGGTTTCGAGGGTCGTCGCCTCCAAAAAAAACAAGAAAATATGGATTTCCCACTCCAAAAAAGCAAGAAAATAGTGATCTCCCGTTGTGATTTGCAGATTTTCGAGTTTCGAGGGTCGTCGCTTCCAAAAAAAATGGGTTTCCCCCTCCGGGGGCGCGAGAAAATGGTGATCTCCCGTTGTGATTTGCAGATTTCCGGTTTCGAGGGTCGTCGCCTCCAAAAAAAACAAGAAAATATGGATTTCCCTACTCCAAAAAAGCAAGAAAATAGTGATCTCCCGTTGTGATTTGCAGATTTTCGGGTTTCGAGGGTCGTCGCCTCCAAAAAAAACAAGAAAATAGTGATTTCCCACTCCAAAAAAAGCAAGAAAATAGTGATCTCCCGTTGTGATTTGCAGATTTCGGGTTTTGAGGGTTGTCGCCTGCAAAAAAAATCAGGAAAATAGTGATCTCCCATATAATCCCTATTTGGATCCTTGCTATTTTGAGGTGCCCAAATCACTATTTGATGACCATCTGATCACTATTTTCTTGCTTTTTTGTGTCAACTGTTGCAAGTGAATCACTTTTTTCTTGCTTTTCAGTTTGCTCTTAATTTTCAGATTGCTATTTTCTTGCTCCAAGCCTCACTCCCAAATCACAAAATAAATTATTTTAACCTCCCTCAACGGTTGGCTGGACGAAAACTCTTAACGTTCGCACCAGTTGGAAACCACGTTTGAAACCACTCGAAGGTATTCACAGGGGAATCATCCCAAACCAGGGCCTCTGAACGGTGGTGCGAAATGGATTTCGCGCATCCACAGATGTCGCTTATGTTCAATCATGGCCAGGCACCGAAAAGCTCCTCTCTCTCGCATTCTAAGCCTCTTACGTCTCCACAGGCAGTTGCTATGACCTGGACCACTGGCCAAAACGCCAGTCAAGGGACAGTGCACAGGCAATGAATGTGCTGACTCAATGACGCAACACCATGTTTATGTTTCCTACTTGCAACTGGGGGTTGGTCAATATTCCGTTCGACCCCAGTTTTGACTATGGGTAACTTCTCCGAGGTGGGGAAAACAGATTCTCATCTTTCTTGTTCCAAGCAATGGTCGTCCTATGTTCCACCTGTTGATCAACCCCCAACTCTTCCTTTGCCAGGCTCCGAGCTTTGTAGTCCTTCAACTGGTCGACTTCTCGCGGAACCTGTGCAAAATCAGCTCGCCAGGCGGTCATAGGCAGACAAGCAGCCACAGTATGCTGGCCAAAGCCAAAGCTGTCTCTGCTTTGCACTCCCCCCGATTGAAAAAGAAAGCTGCTTCGATCTCAGATGGTTTCCACTACCCCAAACCACTACCCCCAGCCGAATGGGAGATACAGCCACTAGACACTCATGTCCACCTAGTACCAGTACATGGATGTTTGTCATAAAGACAACTCAGTGGCCCGAAAAGAAAATCGAAAAGAACAAAAAAGAGAAAAACCGGTTAAACAAGTAGCTGCTCCGCAAGAGATCCGAACTTTGCAGCTTCCAACCAAAATCAGATTCTCTTAAAAACATTTTCAAAAACCTGCCCACAATGGAACCGGTACGTCCTCGGCTCACCAAATTTGAGACCCCAAGACCATATTTCAAGAATCACTACAAGAAGTTTGGTTGCGTGGGCCCCTGAAAAAATACCACCTGCCCGCTGTAATGTGTCTTAGTTAGTTAAATCAATAGACGGCCCAGGTGATGCCGGCAACGCTTCAGGCGTTGTTGTTAGACTTGGGCCTGCTCCTCAAATCTAAAATGGTCAGCTGCCCACAATCAAACCCTTAAAGGGTGTGGTTCAGGGGTCCCTGGAATAAAGTGTTGCTGCCTGGCCCAGGAAGCTCCAGCAATACTCAATCAAATGCAACCTGAATTCCGGTTCTGAAAGGGAACTCCAGCAATACGAAATGAAATGGAAACTCAATTGAAGCAGATCTCAAGGTATTCTTCTAGGGGCCCCCTTTGTGGACCCGGGGGGGGGGGCCTTTGCTAATCTCAGGTGGACATTCTAAGAGGGGTATGTACTCCAGTTGACCCTAGGGCTAGCTTCGGTTTCGTTTCGTGGCAGTGCACAGCATCATGGATACGACGAAAAGCAAGCTGACTTGGTGGCTCTAGCTCTTGCCGCCGAAGAGCAGGCTGAAACGGATAGCCATCTTCGTCCGATGGGAAGCTACTGGTGTCTGGATGACCAAGCTGCCCGCAAGCACCAGCTCCTTGCGGCGCACAAGAAAAACAAATCGCCAATATGGCCCAGACCGCAGAATTGAATAAACAGGCCATGGGTCAAAATCCAAATCGTAGCCCCAGTGAACAGCCCAATCCAACCACTAAAATCCCGACAAAAATGGGTGGTGAATTCACCTACCCCAAAATTGGATCCCAAAACGGTTTTGACAACCACAGCCAACAGTCGTCCGGCAAAGCATAAAACTGAGCAGCGCGCCCCAGGTGTACATGCGGCCCCGGTCTGAAACCGCAATGGTGTGCGCCTGAAGCTTGGTTGCTGTTGACCCCCCTGCAAAAAGTTCAACTTTTTGGGGGTTTGGTGGAGAACCCCTTGATTTCCCAAAAAGTGAAAGTCTAAAGCTCCAACCCAATAGCAGGCAAGGAAGAGCGCGGGCGCGAAGGCGCGCGAACGCGTGTCAGGCCCTCCGACAGAATCGCTCCGGCCTTCCCGCAGGCGACAGTGGCGACCACGTGTGGTCGAAGATGCTCCACAACCTCAGGGCTTCGCGGCTTCGCGGCTTCGCGGCTTCGCTGCTCGAGCTGAATTGTTTTTCAACTGTCATTCTTTACTTGTCATTTACTTTCCATTGTCATTTTTTTATTTTCGAGTTGAGCCGGGTCCTTGTGGGTCCTTGTCATTTTTTAATTGCTTGCGCGGCGCCTACCCCACACCTATGCGAAACGCAACAGTCCCACAAAAACGCCTACGCGAGACCGAGCTGACTACATACCTGGCTACGCCGCCTACACGACAACGAGGAGCTCGACGCGCTTTTTACGCTCGGCTACGGAGAGGTTCGTTTCGATCGCGATTGGACAGGTCACGAAGAAGACGAGTTTGAAGTCGCTGCAGTAGGCTGCAGAGGAACGGGAAACGGAGGGTGCCGCGAAGGCCTTCCAGTCAGATTTTGGACGAGATGCCTACGCGAAGCCTACGCAGAGCCTACGCGAAATGAACCTGGATTTTTTGGAGTTCCGAGAATGCCTTTTACCTGTTAGCGCGACGGGTCTACTAGCAGAAGCGCCGCAGTATGAGTTGCCAGCTGCGCTGCTGGACAAGCGGACCTCCTCCTCCCTCCGCCAGCGACCGCCAGCTTGCGCCTCCATGCTGCAAGCAGCTGACGAAAAGCTGCTGTGCCAAACTGCCGCTCACAAACGGTCACACAACCATGTCTTGCATAACAACAATGCTCAACATTCAAGCTCATAAGCGCTCGCCTACGCGACTGCCCGATGTGGGCCTTCATCCAGAAAAAAGACGCTGCTCAGTTGATGTTCACCGGTTCAGTAAGCCAGGAATATTTGGTGCATCTTTCAGGTCCAAGCTCGAGGTGTGAGCTGATATGGGCAGCCGTCCTCATCTTTTGGCCTGAGCTTGCTATGCACGCACCGCAATACCAAGCTGGAGGCTCAGTGTGTGGCATCTTTGAGGTCTCAGAGTGACCTAATTGTCCACATCCTCCGCCACCCCAGCCTAAGGCAAAGACACAGTACGGGATTTGCGCGCACATATATTAAAACAAACTGTTCCTAGCAAACATGTTGTATGATGCTTGAGAAGTACGGTTTGAATAAAACCACTGCACCGCAGTATGCCCTGACTTTCCTGAGGTGAGGAGCTGTACAGAACACCCTCGCGAGATAGCGCGACGGTGTGCGCATCTCCGCAGGCAATCTGGACGATGCATACGTCCTGGCAAGTCAGGTGAGTCATACCCAAAACCGATCGGTAAATGGTCGCGTAAGGCCCCATTTTCATGCTTCAAGAACTAGGGCGGATCTCCGCAGCTATTCTCACTTCCCAAGTTGACTGGCCAAAAAAAGTCTGAACTTTTTATTTACCGCTAAGATGGTCTTTCCAAAAAGTTTAAAGTCCATCAACTCAGGAAGTGAGTATTTGTGGCAAGGGGAGTGGTCCCTAACCGGATCACCACTCCCCGGGTTTCGGTTTGATTGCTCGTGGCGTCAGAGATGTCGGATAGCTTCCGCTCCTGGAGGCTTCCAACCAGTAGGGGCACTGGCTGGTAGGGGTAGCCTTCCACCTGGAGCTCTCTGAGAACGAACGCTCTTGAATTGACACGAGTGGTGACTCTCTGAGAAAGAACGCTCTTGATTTTGACACGATTTGTTTTGGTGACTAAGTACCTGACATCCTTGGGCATGTGCGCAGTGTCACCTGGAGCCGCGTTCCCACGCATCGAGCCGGTGTTCGGCGGCATTGTTTGGCGTTTCTTGAGCTGAAGTGGGAGCTTTTGCAGAACCATGAAGCTGGTACTTTGTTTAATCAATGTTTGCAAAGTTCAAGGCAAGGTGGTCATCCCATCTCTGCTAATGCAGCTGCGACACAATGCCCTAGCTGGCCTAGGCACACACATGTTGATAGCGGCCAAAGGTGAACCCATGCGAGCAATGACAGATGCTGGCATGGGAAACCTGTCTCTCCAGGGTGGCGACCGCAGGCACTTGCTCCCCAGCTGTACAGCTTTCCGTGAACAGTGACTGCAGCCTTGGATCTCCACTCCGACTTCGCAGCTTTTTTTTTTTAGTTTTTTTAAACTGACTCCTTCTGACTTAGCATTTTTTTTTCTTTCAACATGACTCTGCGGTTTACACTGTCAAGTGTGTCCTGTGTTCGGCTTCCATGTCTTGTCACCCGCCGCAGGATCCAAGCTCTGGGCGGTGTGCCCGTCTCCGCCTGCGATTTGACCTGGGCTCACGGAGCCGCGGAGTCGGCGCAGCTCGCGCCGTGGGTGAGGAGCAAGACCGATCCGGGTAGAGAAAATGGGTCCACTAGCTGGGAAATGATAAAGAACCGACAGTCAGAATCGATGGAAATGATAAAGAACAATCAGAATCGATGGAGATGATGAAGAACAATCAGGATCGATGGAGATGATAAAGAACAATCAGGATCGATGGAGATGATAAAGAACAATCAGGATCGATGGAGATGATAAAGGACTGGAAATGGTCGACGGACAATCAGAACCATGGAAATAAAGAAGGCCAGGCGCCGCAAGGATTTCTGGCTGGGACTGGCCCTAACCTTCACTTCCCGGGTTTTGATTGTGACTCATGTGAAACACGCTGCCAGACCACCCAGATTTCAGTGCTGGGACCGCTGCAGATCTTGATACGCTTGAAGGCCTGAACGATCTGCCATGCGCTAAATTCCATGACATGAACGAGGCCTTGATGAGACCAGCAGTTGGCTCGTATGGGTAGCCATCCTGGTCCTTTGGGAGGTCCTGCAGCGCCGAGTAAACCTCTGACGTCTTTGCCGCCTTCTGCCCGGCATGATTGCAGGACACGTCACAAGGCCCATCTCCTCAAGGAGTGGGAAACCCAGCTGCCCCATCTCACCGCTGCCCCATGAGTGCACCTCAAGCGAAGTTGGCCTAATATGACCATGGGTCAAAATCCAAATCGGTTAGCCCCCAGTGAACATCCGATTCAATCCAACCACTTTTCATAGGAAGCCTAAAATGGGTGGTGAATTCACCGAAAACCCCAAAATGGGATCCCAACACGGTTTTGACCACCACAGCCATGACTTTGCAGGCGCCATCAGGCGCCCTAACGCCTCACCTTTGGGCCCGAGAGCCCAGCATCGCCACCAATTGGCACCTTCGGAGTTGGAGTCAAAGGCAAAGTACCAAGGTGTGAGGCTCCAAGGACCATCTTCTCCTTCTTTGGGTGGAAAAAGGCTATGGAACCAAAAAAAACAAACGGGACCTACTCCACCTTTGGATGGTGCATGCTATGGAGAAAGAAGAAAAGACACGGGACCTACTCAAAGCAAAAGGCAACAAAGATGAAAGCAGCCGCCTGCACTGGTGGCATCACCAGGCTCCCAGCCGAGCGAGTCACCTGGGTCCATTGACATTGGGTTCTCCAGCGCCCAAAAACTTAGGACCAGGGCTGTGGGAAATGACCATGTGACACAACAATATTGACAATAAGGGCTTCCCAAAGACTAACCCACCACACGGGGGAGATTCCCTTGTATCACAGAAGTGGTTGGTAAAACCCCGAGTGATCCCACTGCTTAGGACGGCACCCTGGAGCGGCCTCCACCGGACCCGCCCCCCCCCTTCCGGGCCCGCCTTGAGCCCCAAAACGCCACGGCGTTTTAGGCGAGGACTTGCTCAAAAGTCGACCATTGCGCTCGCTCGCAGCTGCAAACCCCTCCAGCTTGACCACGCCGGAGAAAGAAAAAAACAAAACAAAAAAAACACGGGGCTCCGCATGCGAAGCGTTTGGGCGCTTTCGCGCCAGACTGCACCAAACTGGAGTGCTGGATTCAGCGCCCGGAAGATTCTGAAGCCCCGCGGCTTCAGCTCTGGAAGTCCTCGGCGCGCGTTTCCGTCGCGTCGCTTTTTGCCGAGGCTCAGCGTCCCACCAGAAAGGAATTTAAAGGGGGTGCCCTTGAACCACCACAAAAAAAGGTCCGCCAATCAAATGGAGGTGTTGATTTTTTGGTTTCGTGGCGAGGGGGCTGGTTTCCCATTTACCCTGTAGAAGCAAGGGTTCAAGTGCCCAGTTCCCAGCAATCCAAAGAATCTAAAGCAGTTGAGTCACTTGCTCAAAACCCGGTATTAAAATGGTTGACCCAATGTAAGGAAATACAAAGGCGGATATCCGCAGCTGTTTCTGGCTGGGATTGTCCCTTACTAACCGGATCGCCAATCCCCGGGTTTTGATTGCGGCCCAGTTGGGGCGTGCCTGAAATTCGATGAAACCGTGCGTCCAAGCGGCTCACATGCCAGGTCGCCTGGGCAGATCCCTCCAGTAACCTTGTGCATCTAAATCTCGTGCATGAATGTAGCCTCGCAAAAAAACTAAAAAAAAACTGGCGGCTTCACGTGTGAGATAGACATCTCCTGAACCTGCAACTCTCAAACGCGAGCCGCCAAAAACTACTAGCAGCTTCACATGTGACATAGACATCTCCTGAACCTACAACTCTCAAACGCGAGCCTTGCTGCCACTGATGGCCCATAAACCAGCCGGAAAACCTGTTGCGTGAATGGCACGCAAGCAGCTGGTCTCTGGGTCTCAAGTTAAAATGAAAACAGCAGGGCACTATCCAACTGCTTTCTTGCGAGCCTCACCATGTTTCGGATATCCAGCCGACCACCAACGGTGGGGCTTATCCACAGGTGCCGGTCAGCAGGGGAAAGCAACACCTGGCTCTGAATTTGGGTCTGAATTTGAATCAGGGACCCTTTTCTGGACACCATCCAGGTGGGTGTGGCTCAAAATTCAAGAGCTAGGCTTACGCAGGTTTTAGTCTTTGGTTCCATTTACCAAGGTGCCATTTTAGTACATGTTTTTGAGCCACAGCCAGGTGGGGATCCATGTCCACCTTTCGCACTTTGGAGGGGGTTCCGCATCGAAACAAATCATGGCGCCACTTCTGTCTGCCACCGACTGAGAGCGGCGCCTTCATAACCTCACTTTGCGAGCGCCAAAAGCGGGGAGTTCCCGCTTTCCGAGTGAGCCGCAATCAAAACCCGGGTATTAAAATGGTCTAGAAAGAATGGGGAAGGTACCCCTAGAATCCCCATGTTTGGGTCCAAATGAACCAAAATCAAAACCCGGTATCAGAATGGTGAACCCAGAACCATGCTTCACGAATTAAGAAGGCGGAGATCCCCAGCTATTTCTGGCAAGGGAATCGGGCGAACCATGTAAAGAATGAAGAAGGCGGATATCCCCAGCTATTTATGGCTGAGATGCCCTTTCTAACCTTCACCAATCCCCGGGCTTGGATTGTGGCTCAAGTGGCCATGGGTCAAAAAAAAAAACGAAACCCCCCGTGAACATCGACCAATCCAAGCACTTCTTGGCTCCAAGATGGGCGCAGCGAAAGCAACCCCAACATGGGATCGATCCCAACACGGGTTTTGAGACCACAGCCAAGTGGACCAAGGTGACCTTGGGGACCTCTGGGAAACATATCCATGAAATTTACCCATCTACTTCTCTTCCCAAAGCAACACAGGGACACCCATGGAGGGGCTCACAAAAAACGCCTTCGTCTTCCGAACCCGTTTGAGCAGCTTCCAAGATTCTGGATAACTTGCTGGTGCTCAGGGACTGAGAAATGGAATGACTCCTTTTTCAACCATGCCCTATATTTTTCCTTTAAGGCAATCCCAAAGCGGTTCATTCCATGTCTAATTCCCTACCTACTTCTCGCACCAGCAAGAGACAAGCTAATCGGAGACACCTCTTGAGCTCGCGGCTTGGTAATTCCAAACGGTGTAGAGTTTGGCCCATGCGCCGCCGTGGCGATGGTTCGCGGCAATGACGCCCCGCATCTCGCTGCGCAGGTCATACCTGACGATTTGTTGGGCTGCTGCTCACGACTTTTCCGGATGGATCTGTGAAACCATTGTTGGCTTCTCATGACTTTCCTTGGATCTGAGATCCAGGCAGGTACTCGAAGAAGCAGTGGAAGGAAAAGGGGTTCACTCCATCATTACAAAAGGCCCGCAGGCTGGGAACATATCTCCATGGCTTGAAGCGGACCACCAGCCATACCTTGCGGCTTGCGGCTGACTGGGGGGAACTGGGAAAACAGATGGATCTGCTCCCCTGCTACAACTTTATCTTTTAGTGATTTAATGGAAAACCCATTAGCTGGTAAAACGTTAAAGTCCTAACATCCAAGCAAAATGCGCCAAAGTTAAGTCGAAGCCAAGGAAGCATTGCATGATGCCATAACACTCTCCAGCAGCTCTTCTCGTGAGGAAAAGCTGGTGATGACGTCGGGCACCATCGCGGGGACAAAGCCTTCAGTATAGTGCCCTTTGCACAGTCTACGCGAGTGAGTTAAAATCAAAACCTGGTACCAAAATGGCGAGCTTCCAAAACCCCATGGTAAAGAGTTACCAAGGCTGCTTCCTGAACCTAGTTCTGGTTGGGACCGTCCCCTCCTAGCTTTCTCGGTTTTGAGCCAGGGGCTCAACTTACTGCATGGAACAAGAAATGGAATGACCCCTCAAGAAATAAACCATCCATTTCCGAGTTGGTTTCCTTTCTGGGAAATGCCTTCCGATTCATTCCCAAACCGTTTGTCAACATCCAGGCCAAGACAAACCATCCCATGTCCGCTTTGGGTCTCAATTTTAACTAGGGACCATTTGGTGGACACCATTGAGGCGGGGATCCATGTCCACCAACCACTTTGGAGGGGGTTCCCTACTAAAATTCATAGCCATTTGGCCATGGGTCAAAATCCAAATCGTACTCCCAGTGAACATCCCAATCCCCACTAAAATAAGTTCTAAAATGGGTGGTGCGACAGGCCCCCAAAATGGGATCCCAAAACGGTTTTGACCACCACAGCCATGTGTGCAAGAGTCAAAACACATTTCATGGCCCTCCCTGTCGCCCAATACATGTTTTTTCAACAGTTGGCCATGTCATGGCGGCCCAAGTCAAGAACTCTTGGCGTGTTTTGACCCTTGCTCATTTGGGTATGGGTCAAAATCAAGCCACCAGGAATTGGACCGCAGGTTTTGGTCCATGGTTCCATTTGCCCGGGCAACCCATTTTGAGGTCAGGTCGCCGGTGGCCAATCGCCTCACTCCGATGCGCATGCGGGAGCTCAAGGCGGAATAGTCGCCTGCCGAATCCCATGACAAACGAGTCACAAGCAAAACCTCAATGATTTCCCAGAAAAGCAGTGGATTTCCGTGGGAAAAAGGGGCACCCTTGTCTTGTTGGTGGGAACAACAAGAGGCACCCTTTTGGTGGGAAAAAAAGAGGCACCCTTTTCTTGTTGGTCGAGATTTTTATGGGGAACCCTTCCCCAAGGAAAAACGTTGAAAAAAGGGCACTGGGCAACCGAGAAACCGATCTGTCTTAAACTGGTCCAAGCCCAAGTCTTAAGTAAATTGAAAGGCGGGGCCCCGCAACTATTTCTGCTTTCAAGAACTGCCCCTTACTAACCTTCATCTACCCGGGCTTTGATTCACATAGAAAACAGAGGGCAGTGAACTTTGGCCAAATACAGCAAGACACAAATTCATGCGAGATTCATATCTGAACCACCACCAATTTCGGGTTGTGACTCACGTCAACGTGCTGCTAGCTTGGAGCTTGGCAAACTCAGCGTTCAGCTTCGCTGCGCCTTCCGACAGCAATTCTGCAGCTAGAATGTCCATCAAAGTGCCCAAGCCTCAGCAAAAACAGGCGTGACCTGCCAATCAAAGTGCTGCATTCAGACTCAAATGCCGGCCAAATCGACCAACCATTACACATGATCGGGTGGTCTGCGCATTCGAAGCGCATTCGAATTTTGGTCAGAGCCGCGCCCTACAAAGGCTGTTGGTGAGGCCATGTTCTGCGCAGCCTTGCTCTCAATGATTCCAAAAATCTGGTGGGCTCTCTGACGAACAGCTGCCGCCACACCTCAAAGTCTTGACTGTTGACCCGCTTGCCGAGAACAAACAGGCGGGTGCAGCGTATTCACCAACAGTGACTAGAGATAGTTGGTCCATGTACGGGCGACATGTTTGGTGACACACAAAACAAACAGCGCGGGCAACATGTTTGGTGAGACTCCACCAAAGAAGGCACCAGTTCAAGGAGTGCACCAGCTTGCTATCACAGTTGAGTCACACTCAAAACCCGGTATTAAACTGGTCTACCCAGAACCATGCTTCAAGAATTTAGAAGGCGGATATCCGCAGCTACTTCTGGATCTACCCAGGTTTTGATTGTGACTCAGTTGAGCATGCTATTGCCAAGCCTGCAGAGTCTGAGTCAGCAGCGGCGGCCACCCTAAGAATCACTCGGCTCATTGCGCTGCCGCTTTCTTGGCCGTGGGTCAACACCAACGGTACTATTTGGGGGTAGGTGAATTCACCACCCATTTTTAGAACCTATTCTAGTGGGGGTTGGGATGTTCGCTAGGGGTACGATTTGGATGTTGACCCATGGCCATACGCATTTAGGCAAGCATCTCTTCCAGCTGCAGCAGCATTACCGCACCTACGGTGCCGCTGCTGACTCCAGCCTCGCGCAACGTTCAACTTCCATGTTTAGCTGCTGCACTCATCCATTTCGCGCCATCCGAGAAACCCTGGTTTTCTGATGATTCCCCTGTAATACCAAGAAACTTGTTGGTTTCAACCATGGCTTCCAAGTGGCTTGCGAACGGATTTCTCAACCATGCACAGTGTTGCAAAGTGCAATGCAATCTACGGACCAAGGAGCAAGCTTGGCGCTTCGTGTGTCGAAGTGCTCACAGAGGTACTGTATCATTCCTTGGCTGAACAGTATGTGTGTTTCTCAAAATGGGGGAACCCTTGGATGGGCTTAAAGGGAAACCAAATGGAAACCAACCACCTGAAGGGATCTCTAAGTTTGAGAAACAACTATGTGACTGGACTCCGTTGATCATGTCTTTTTGATTTCTGTCAAACGCGTGAACCACGCAGTAAATGCAGCTTGCCAAGCTTCCCAGTTGCCAAAAGACATAGGAGCAAGTGCCAGGCAAAACCAAGGTGACACGGCCCTCCTCATGCCGCACCATTTGTTTGATACATGTGCAATCTGGGCACATCGCCGCTGGCATCACTGCCATTCTGGTTGCAAGGATTAAAATGCTTCTACTTCTGACGCGCCCTTCCTCCCACGTTGCCATGGCACCTGTGGGAGGGTACCTGGAAGATCAGTTTCCTCTTGGAGGGAGCTTTTGTCAGGAACGCCGTGGCAAGGTGGGAGGACGGGCAGCCGACGAAAAGCGTGTCCATGTTCTGCCATTGGCACGGCTCCTCCAACGGAGCTTTGGGCTTCGCGTCCAGTCGCAGGCAGGCCTGGGTGTGCCAACTCCCGAAACTCGTGGATCAGCTTAAAGGCGGGGGGGGTGGACCTCGAAATTCTGGATTTTCCCTGTGGATCCCTTTCAAAACCGCCAAAAAGGGGGTTCCCCAAAAAATGACACAGCCGTGTGAGGCCTGTGCTGCAGTCAAACGGCTCGCAAAGCTTCCAGCACTGTGAGAAGCAAAGACAGCGGAAGCAGGAGCGCGACCACCAACGCAAAAGCGGCAAGGCCTGACAAATCTCCCACAACTCCCTCAAGCAATGTTTCTGACAAGAAATGCGGCTCTGGTTCCAAAAAACAAGATCAGATGGCTCTTACTTTGCTCCAAAAGAAGATCTCAAATTCCACAGAGACACGCGGCAAACGACATGCCGGGGCGGCCGAGCGCTGCTTCGATAGTGCCTCTTATAAGCTGCCAGCCGGGCGCCTGGCCGATGGCAAGGCCTCACGCCTCGTCTTGAAGGGCTTGTTTAAAAAGCCCCCCAAAGACGGGACACGGAAAAAACAGTTTCCTACGATGGATGGTTGCGAAATCCGTTCGCACCACGAAAAGAATCCATGGTTGAATCCATTGTTTGCCGGTATTTACAGGGGAATCATCAGAAACCAGGGTTTCTTAGGTGCAGGATCTCGTCCATCCACAGTCTTAACCCCGAATAGGCCTTATTGGTCGCTATTGGCCCGTATTGGGATGGGAGGCCCCCTGTTGGGGGGCCCTTGACAACCATCAGGGGTGCTTCTCCCTGAGCTCGGCGGGGATTCATCACTTCAGGGGCACACCCCCTTAAAAAAAGAAGAAGCGGGTTTGCTCATCTGGGGTCAATATCCACTATCGTCTCATACCCGTCCATTTTAAAGCCTGTCGGGCTGCCTCTTGGCTTTCACCGCACGACATATCCCGCATGCCTGAGGTGCTATGCCTGAGTCGTGCCATCTTGTGGAGGCTGCAAAAGTAGTATTCACCGCGGCATACTCTGCACACCTGAGTCTTCCAAAGGAAAGCCTCTAACTTGCTCCTTCCAGAATTCGATTCATGTGCAGACTGGCTATTCCATAAGGTTTGCCAATATATTATTGCATCTCGCAGCAAGACACATGTTGCAATGTCTTGCAACACCCTGCACACCCTCGCATGCGCGCACTCATTTTCTTGCTGTCATTCAGATACAACAAACGAATCGTGGTGCAAGTAAAGGTCTCCTCCGCATCAGCTCCGGCTGTGAATGGGAATGGTAGAAGCTGTGAGGGAACCATCTGCCCTTCCACATGGTGTGCCCTTCCACATGGTGTGCTTCCCCTCACGGGATTCACCAGGTGGGCATGATCTTGCTCAAGTGACCTTGCCCTTCACCTTCGGCGGACTTCGGACTTCGGAGTTCGCCACTGGGTGCCTGCTCTTGCATCATGTCAAAGCCGACACGGGTCTGGTGTCATCTAATTCCTGGCAGCAAAGACTCGGGGTGATTGTCTTCACAACCCTTGGTATGGCAGTGTTGTTTGTACTCCCCAAACCTAACAATGACCAGAACAAACAAACCAGAAACCAAAAAAGGGAAAACAACACCAAACCAAAAACTGACCAGAATCCCCACCCCCCACCCCCCACTCTCACCCAAAAAGAACAACAACAAAAAGAACTTGATCCAAGAACAGTGAAGTTGTTGCTTCCCAGACCCGGCTCAGTGTGGCCGCGTTTCTCCAGAGCCCACAGAGCCCAGCCTGTGGAGCAGAGGAAGCGCTCCAATGCGGCCCCATATCACGTGCCGTCCAAACGGAGACCCAGTCCTGGCCATCCTGCTCAACGCATTCGGGTGACTTGGCTGTGGGTCAAACCCCCCGTGGTACCCCTGGTGAACATCAAAATAGGTGGTACATGGGTGTTCATCCGCCCCAAAATGGAGGCATAGGTTTTGACCCATGGCCAATTCGGTGTTTTTCTTGTGCTTTGTTTAGGTTCCAGGGATCCCCCCCAAATTCTGTGGCAAAACGGCGGAACGGCTTTCCTTTTTGTTTACGGCCACCAAACACGGGTGCCAAAACGGGCTGTCCTTTTGGTGTTAGCCACCAAACACGGGGGTACGAAGTACAAACTCCAAAACAAGACGCCCACGTGAGTCACAATTAAAACCCGGTATTAATATGGTTCACCCAAAACCATGTAAGGAAAGGGGTACTGGGGGGGGGCTATCCCTGGATAAGCCCAGGATAACCCAAGGATAAGCCCTTAATAAGGCCTTATTAAGGGATGCCCCCCCTCCCCATAGCCCCCTTTGGGGTCCATGCAGTTTTGAGCAAGTGGCTCCCTTGTTGACCCAGGATTAATAAACCCGTCCCACAGGGGTGTTCCCTCCAAAAGTGGTCTGAATCCAACCACAAGGAGTTGGACACCCCCCGATCAAAATCAACCAGAAAGTTCCGCTTTCTCCGGGGTTAATTTGCCCCCCCATGGAAGCTCCCAGGACCCCCTTGGAAGACTTGGTTCCAGAAAACCGACGCCTTCTGGGAGCTTCCATGTTCATTCCTGGAACTAAAAGCTTAACCTTTTGGGGCCAAATATGGACCAAAATGGGTTCAAACCCAAACCCAAAAGGTCAAAAGGTCAGATCCGGTCGATTCGCTTTGAACAACTGAGTCACCATCAAAACCCGGTACAAAAGTGGTCGACCCAGAACCATGTAAAGAACTAAGAAGGCGGCCGCAGCTATTTATGGCTGGGATCATCCCTTAGTAACCTTCACCTACCCGGGTTTTGAGCAAGTGGCTCACTTCACTTCGTCTCTCTCTCTGCCGCACATCGATCCGCCTCGGAGCAGAGCACCTCGAAGGCGCGGATGGCGTTGCCCGCATTGCCCTGCTTCACCCGAATGCGGCGGATGGCTGCAGCCTCGCCTTCCGAGGAAAAAGGGAAAACAACGACACGTCCATGAGGCAAACGCCAGATGTGGGTGTGGCGTACAAAGTGGACTCCCCAAAATTGCAGCTTGGAATATGGAGGCAAGACTAAAGCCTTCGTATGTAAGCCCACCTGTTTGATTTTGAGCCACGCTCAGAAGGGGGGTTGTCACAAATGGGGCGACCCTTTTTGGGCCATGGACTATGTGGGGCCCGCCAGAAAAAAGGGGCCCACAGGCGCACTGCAAGTCAGAGAGTAAGCCAGGCACGCAGTTTGCAGGTCACCCATGTACCAACTTTCTCGCTGCCGAAGAGTGTCTCCTGCCGCTGCCATGCTACAAAGAGCATTGAGAAAAGCTTCCGTGAGGGCATGCAAAGAGCTCAGGGTTGTTTTCACCTCAGGGTGCTTCCCTTTACAACCAACCACCAAAAAGAGGTACCAACTCGCAAAAAAGACCTCCAAATTCTAGGGTCCGATTCCCCCTTCTTTTCAACCATCCTGCTTTTCAACCCGGCCGTTGTCCCTCGGTTTTTCCGAAAGATTCGGATCCCAACGAATGGAAAGTCGCAGGTCGCCCATTCACATTCCAAGCGGACTTTCTCCGCTCCCAGAAGGTGTCGGATCGGCCATCGAAGGCGTTGCGGGCGATCCGGCCGTTCCTCTCGCCGTTGCAAGCGATGCTTTCGATTCCTGGGGTCCGCGAAATTTCCGCGGACGCTGAACCTCCCATGGGGGAAATGTGAATTGCAACATCCATTGCAATTGAGTCACAATGAAAACCCGTCGCTTTTAAAATGGTCCATCCCCAGAACCATGTAAGGAATATTGAGAAGGCGGAATTCTGCACCCATTTATGGCAAGGAGATTCTCCCTTACTAACCTTCAGCTACCCGGGTTTTGAGTGTGGCCCGTTTGCCCCATCAACTAACTTCCCATGTGGGGAAACATGTGAACACAGCGCCAAGTCGCCTGCGAACGGTATCAAGGTGTTGAATTGATCGTACAATTCCTTGCATGTCTCAGTCGCAGCTACGGAGAAAGCACAAAGCTGTAGTTGCGTATCAAGTGAGCCAGGTTGCTACGTTGTAGATCAATGCCTCCCATTCACACACTTCTTCCACAATCTGAAGCCGCCAATACCTTAATTTCGGACACCAGCGGCATGTCACCGATGCATCCACTCTACAATCCCAGGCTCGTCCTGCAGCCGGCATCACGAAAGCACGTGAGTTCCGTCCCCCGGCCTCCGCAAGGAGCGTTCAGCGGCGAAAAAAGGCTCAGAAGGCGTTCGCAAATGGAGAGCTTGCAAGGGTGATACCCTACAACCAGACATTCTTCATGGAAGTGCACAAACCCCCTTTCCAAGGGGGGAGGGATCAAAAACAACTTTTTAGGCATCAAAAAAACTTATTTCTGAAGATCAAAAAAACTTATTAGGGATAAAAAACAACTTATTCTCATTGTGTTACTATTAAAAATGAAAAATCAGAGGATCAAAAAAAAACTTTTTGGAGATCAAAAAAACTTATTCATTTCGTGGCAGGCGAAGCACTTTCGCAAGGTCAGGTCCAGATTTCGTGGCAGGCGCGGCACTTTCGCAAGGTAGGCGCAATGCTTTCGCAGGTCAGGTACAGATTTCGCGGCAGGCGCAGCATTTTCGCAAGGTGCAGTACAGATTTCGCGGCAGGCGCCGCACTTTCGCAAGGTCAGGTACAGATTTCGTGGCGGGCGCAATACTGTCGGAAGGTCAGGTACAGATTTCGCAGCAGGCGCAGCACTTTAGCAAGGTCAGGTACAGATTCGCGGCAGGCGCAGCATTTTCGCAAGGTGCGGTACAGATTTCGCGGCAGGCGCAGCACTTTCGCAAGGTCAGGTACAGATTTCGTGGCGGGCGCAATACTGTCGCAAGGTGCGGTCCAGATTTCGCGGCAGGCGTCAACACTTTCGCAAGAGGTACCAATTTCGCGGCAGGCGCAGCACTTTCGCAAGGTACGCAGGCGCAGCATTTTCGCAAGCAGCGAAGAAACATATACAGAGATATAAACATGAAGAAAAAGGGAAAAACAGAGAGAGAGAGAGAGAGCGAGAAAGAAAGAAAGAAAGAAAGAAAGAAAGAAAGAAAGAAAGAAAGAAAGAAAGAATACAAGAGAGAGAGAGAGAGAGAGAGAGAGAGAGAGAGAGAGAGAGATGATTCGAGGAAGTGATGATTCAGCAAAGGGCACGTTAAGCTTTGTACACGTTCTGAAAATCAGCGGGGGGGTTGGGGGGGGCAGCAGCCCCCCGCATGATGTTCGAGGAAGTGATGATTCAACAAGGGGCGCGTTAAGCTCTGGAAGCATTCTACAAATCAGCAGGGGGTTCGGGGGGGGGGGGGGGGCGGCAGCCCCCCCCCATGATGTTCGAAGAAGCGATATTCAACAACGGGTGGTGATGATCAAAGGAGTGATGATTCAGCAAAGGGTGCGGCGATCTCTGTAAAAATTCTGCATCAGCGGGGGGGGTTGGGGGGGGGGGGGGGGGCGGCAAATGTGATGATGATCGAAGAAGTGATGATTCAGCAAAGGGTGCGTTAATCACTGTCAACCTTCTACAAATCAGCGGGGTGAGGAAGGTCAGGTGCAGATTTCGCAGCAGGCGCAGCACTTTAGCAAGGTCAGGTACAGATTCGCGGCAGGTGCAAGTCCAGATTTCGCGGCAGGCGCGACACTTTCGCAAGATGTACCAATTTCGCGGCAGGCGCAGCACTTTCGCAAGGTACGGTGCAGAGTTTGACGCAGGCGCAGCATTTTTGCAAGCAGTGAAGAAAAATATACAGAAATATAAACATGAAGAAAAAGGGAGAAAACAGAGAGAGAGAGAGAGAGAGAGAGAGGGAGAGCGAGAAAGAAAGAAAGAAAGAAAGAAACAAAGAAATAATAAAAGAGAGAGAGAGATGATTCGAGGAAGTGATGATTCAGCAAAGGGCGCGTTAAGCTTTGTATACATTCTGAAAATCAGCGGGGGGGTTGGGGGGGGGCGGCAGCCCCCCCCATGATGTTCGAGGAAGTGATGATTCAACAAGGGGTGCGTTAAGCTCTGTAAGCATTCTACAAATCAGCAGGGGGGTTGGGGGGGGCGGCAGCCCCCCCCATGATGTTCGAAGAAGTGATGATTCAACAAAGGGTGGTGATGATCGAAGAAGTGATGATTCAGCAAAGGGTGCGGTAATCTCTGTAAACATTCTGAACATCAGCGGGGGGGTTGGGGGGGGGCGGCAGCCCCCATGATGCTCGAAGAAGTGATGATTCAACAAAGGGTGATGATGATCGAAGAAGTGATGATTCAGCAAAGGGTGCGTTAATCACTGTCAACCTTCTACAAATCAGCGGGGTGGTTGGGGGGGGGTCCTTCCTTCCTTCCTTCCTTCCTTCCTTCCTTCCTTCCTTCCTTCCTTCCTTCCTTCCTTCCTTCCTTCCTTCCTTCCTTCCTTCCTTCCTTCCTTCCTTCCTTCCCCCCATAGGAATGAGCATTAGTTTCTTTTTGATGCCGAATAAGTTTTCTTTTTGATGCCTAATAATTGATTTTTTGATGCCCAATAAGTTTTCTTGTTGATGCCTATCCCCTTTCCAAGAGGAAAGTCGCCTTTCTTGAGGTGTGCGCATGGAATCGTCGGTTAAGCCTACCTTCCACTCTAGGCTCCTGGCCGACGCCAACATCTGCCAGCGACATGCGCAACTCCTTCACTGCAAATTGCCGCGATCCTCTGCAAAGAACTATGGCGTCTCGTGGGATGCCAAACTCCCTGCCAAGTGCGTTGAGGCAAAGTTGCAGTTCAACTTGCATGTCCGCAAAGGAATCGAGAAGGTGTGGGTCAAAATTCACCAGGAATTGGACCGCAGGTTTTAGTATTTGGCTCCATTTACCAGGGCAAGCCATTTTGGGGTTCCTATTTTTGACCCACAGCCAAATGCGAGATGCAATGGCAGCTGTCGTTCAGCTTCCGTGCCTCGCGGCCTTCTCTCGCAAGGCTTCCAGCAAGTCATCAGGAAGGCAGCCAGAAAGTGTGCGAGAGTCTCCGCTGGGTCGGAGCAGAGTCACCTCACTGTAAGAACCCTGGCGAGAATGCACGCGCTTACAACTCTGGGTGAATTATAATACTTCACCAGCCTGAAATAAGGTGGTTTGGGGGCTATTCCCCACACAAACCACCATTTGGAGTGAGGTCGTGTGAGGTCATTATAATTCACCCAGACAACTTCACATGCAACTATGATGGTGCAATGCAAATACGAGCAGCACTGATCTTCAGTCTGGCTGCAGAAAATTCTTCAAGCTCATTAATGCGTGCGGTGAGCCTGGCTCACAGCCGGCCAGCAAACAGCAAGCAAAGCTTTTGGCATGTGGCGTGCCCATGCGTGCCTTTCCATCAGCCGCTGCCGCACAGCTCGCAGAACCGAGGGATCCGCCTCGTCGTCGATGGCTCTCTCCAACTGGTGAAGGGCCAAAGGCAGACTTGCGCCGTCTTCCATGGCTTTCCTCCCGCCTCAAATGGCTGCGGCGCAAAAATATGTGCCCAAATCGCACCTTGATATGCCTTGGTAAGTGGAACCAAAGACTAAAAATTGCGGTTTGCCCTAGCTCTTGAATTTTGAGCCACACCCAAATCTGCTAATCTCCGATGGAGCAGACTCCGAACAAATCTGGGCAATGAACCCAGAGTCAGCTGAGGACATGTTCCCCATATTCTTCCCCTCAAAACATGGCTGCGGGTCAAAAATGGGTACCCAAAATGGCTTGCCCTGGTAAATGGAACCCATGACTAAAATCTGCGGCAATTCCTGGTGGTTTCATTTTGACCCACACCCACATCACCCCAGAAAAGAGATGGGATGGAATTGCTTCTCACCATTTCCCACCGTTCAACATCCTCAGAGCTTGAGCCCGTGGCGGCAATTTCCGCGTCTCAAAGGAAGCACTTGACTACAAGGCAGACTTGAACCCAGGGGTGGTTGATTCCCCCACAAAGGACACCCTTGGGTTCAAGTCTAATACTTACCCCATATTAATCAACCCAGTTTATTTATAGCGGGCGTTCCTCGAGCGGTTTGATTGCCCACACGTCACCCAGGGAGAAGCACCCCCCTACAAAATCACACATCTATATATATATATATTAATATACATACATACACTTTCCGAGAAACATGCAAGAATTGTCACAAAATATGTGAATGAGCAGAATATCCAGGAGCCAAATTTGGGTTGATTGATATGGCCATGGATCAAAATCCCGTACCCCCAGTGAACATCCCAATCCCCTCTAAAATGGGCGGTGCACCTACCCCAAAATGGTACCATTGGTTTTGAACCATGGCCATATTAAGTCAACATTGCCCCGTAGTCCAAAAAACGGAACCCTGTCAGGTTCCCTTTGAGCTCCCTGCCAAGCATCCGGATGCCGCTGCCGAAGTCCGGTCATGGCGCTCCAGCGCGGATGCGCTTCGTGCTTCTGCGTCGAAAAGCTGATGCCTGGGTTTTGGCTGTGGGTGAAAATAGGATAACCCCAAAATGGCTTGCTAACTGGAAGCATGGACCAACATCTGTGGTGCAACTGTTGGTGGTGACTCATTTTGACCCCTACCTTTTCAAGGTTTGTGTAATGAGCTTCGTGCAACGGCGCCCAAACCTGAAAAATCTCAAACTAGCGAGTGGGCGCACACAAAGCGAGACAGTGCCTTGAGCGAATTCTATCCGGCACGGCGATGAGCAAGAAACCCAGAATGTGGCTGGAATGCGTCCATTTGTTTTTTCGCCCCCTGAAAAAACACACACACACACAAAATATGTACAGTGGTGATAAGTTCCCTTCAAAGCCAACAGGCGAAACAAAACAAAAGAACCTAATGTGGAAGGCAACTGGAACATTTGGATTCACTATTCAATGTTAGTATTGTTGGGGAGTGAATAATAAAGGGGCCCCCCCCTCCCCCCCCAAACAAAATGGGGGGGGTCAACAGAGGAAACCCTAAAAACAAAATGAGGGTCAGACCGGGTCTTCCCCAAGTAGTATTCCAGTAAGTATTGCTTAGAATTGGTTTAGTATTGGTTTAGTATTCTTGCTGACTGGCTTAGTACTGCTTAGAATTGGTTTATTGGTTTAGTCTGGTTGACTGGCTTAGTACTGTTTAGAATTGGTTTAGTATTGGTTTAGTATTCGTGCTGACTGGCTTAGTACTGTTTAGAATTGGTTTAGTATTGGTTTAGTATTCTTGCTGACTGGCTTAGTACTGCTTAGAATTGGTTTAGTATTGGTTTAGTATTCTGGTTTGGTTCAGTAGTTCTTTGGAAAGGAAACTTCCTTTTCTGGGGAGACTCAGTAGTTCTTTGGAAAGGGAAGCCCTTTTCCTTGCAGGCATCCCTGGCCCCAGTCCTAAAAAACTTTTCTCAATTAACTCTCCTTAAAACAAATCTCATTATTGGCTTCCTGGGTGTTCCCTGTACAACCCCCTTGAAAATTTGGCAGGGTGCAACTTTTAGTAAGGGCTGTCATAAAGAATTTGGCTGTTGGGGCCTCAGTTAAACTTCTTTTTCTTGGGAGACTCAGTAGTTCTTTGGAAAGGAAACTTCCTTTTCTGGGGAGAATCAATAGTTCTTTAGAAAGGGAAGCCCTTTTCCTTGCATGCATCCCTGGCCCCAGTCCTAAAACACTTTTCTCAATTAACCCCCCTTAAACAAATCTCATTATTGGCTTCCTGGGTGTTCCCTGTACTACCCCCTTGAAAATTTGGCAGGGTGCAACTTTTAGTAAGGGCTGTCATAAAGAATTTGGCTGTTGGGGACCTCAGTTAAACTTCCTTTTCAGGAACTTCAATCATCATCTCCTTGTTTCTTGCATCTGACAGGCAAGACACCAAAGGTGGAAAGGTAGGGTGGTGGTGGTAGGTTGGGGGGGGCGGGCGGGGCAGAGAGAGACAGGAGTTGCACTGAACTAGGGATTAATTATCAAACTGCTTTTTGGGGAACATTTTTCCGGATTTTTTGCCCCTCACAAAAACTTGTGTGTATTAACTCCCCCTTTTCCTTTTCAGGGGTGTGAATATTTTTGGGATTTTTTTGTGTATTGACTCCCCATTTATTATTCGCAACCTAACATTACCAATGGATTCTGTCTTTGACCATGTAGGGAACCTCCTGGGCTATTTGTGAAAGCACTCAACGGACTGCAGCTCTTTATGCTAGATATCATGCATCCCCCATCTGCACGTCACATTCGCTGTGAAACCATGCTTGCAGCATGTTCGCAAGCGAACGAACCAACATTGTAATCCTACGTCCCTCTCAATTCTGTATTCTGTACAAGTTACGGCTTGGCATGCACTTCAAGATCTCTCCTTCTGGGCACAGTCCATCTGGCTGTGGGTGAAAACAATGGTACCCAACATGGAGCCCTGGTTTGAAAGTGTCACACTGGCCGCCGTGCAGGTTCAAAGCAGATGATCGAAGAGGGAGATAAGCAAATTCTGAAGAATTTGACGTGCGCATGCACCGATTGTCGGGCTTCTGCCGCGTTCTTGGAATGCCGGTTTCACACATCGTAGCTGGTTGCAGTGGTAGCCTGACAGCTCATGATGGCAGCCGAGTGGCGCAAGGCACCTCACCCTTATGTTGGGGAGACTCGCGGATTGTCCAACATTGGGTGTGTCAGTTTTTAGGGGACCCCCCAAAATGTCAAAAATAAAATGGTTTTCCTTGTGGTTTGCCCTGTAAAAACCACAAACAAAAAACCAACTACCAACTCCAAACAAGAGCGACCAAGGTAATGGTGCCCGGTAGCCAAGAATGACAAGCCAATTTGAACTTACATGGCCATGGGTCAAAACCCAAATCGTACCCCCAGTGAACATCCCAATCCCCGCTTTTCATAGGTAGCCTAAAATGGGTGGTGAATTCACCCCGAAAATTCGGGATCCCCTTGAACGGTTTTGACCACAGCCATTTGAACTTTTCAGGGAGGACCCAAACGGATCGGGACGCCTCGGCTTAGCGTACAGCTCCACGCACGGGCGGCCGGAAGGCGGCCACCGGATTTTCTGCTCTCGCCTTGGCGTGGGGTGAAACCACTCATGGACCAACTCGAGTGCGTGCGGCTCTCGTCTTTCCTTCAAAGGGCAGCCTTTGTTGGTGGTTTTAAAGGGAAACCAAAAACAAAGGCCGTTTTAAGCCATTTTGGGGGTTGGGGGAGGGGTCCCCTCAAGAAAAACAAGCTGGGCTTGCTTTTGGCCGTTAAAACCGCCAACAAAGGGTACCCTGAAAGAAAGACACGCCCATATGTATGCGTTCTTTTTCTGGCCATTCTGCCGAGTCTCTGCAAAGGGAGGAATGCCCATGTAGTTGTTGTGGCGCGACCTGAGGTGTCAGCAATGCTGGGAGTGGAAGTTAATAGCCTGTCGCATAGCTGCCAAAGCTGCGTTCAAGACTGAACCCCCTTTTCAACCTAGCCTTTTCGAGCTTGGGCAAGCCGGGCAGAGTTGCTAAGGAAGTCTCTTAGATGACGACAACAAGGGAGTCTTGCAGCAGCATTTCTTTCCCGGAGGCTTTTCAAAAACAATGAAATGTCAGGGGGGGGACTCCTCAAGCATCACACTTGCATGTCAAGAGCATTCTGACAGCAATTGCAAGAGCAGCATGGCATGGCAGCATTTCCAACTAAAAACCGAGCATTGGCCATGCCGCAGTTGCACGGCGCTTCACAACACGTAGATCACTCCGCCTGCTTGGCGTGGGCTGCCGAGGCCTCTCCATCCCGACCTGAGAGCCATGAGCCAGCCATGAGCTACGTGAGTCATAACCAAAACCGATCGGCTAAAAATGGTCGCAGGTCCCAGAACCATGCTCCAAGAATGAAGGCGGAGATCCGCAGCGATTGATTTATGGCAAGATTGTCCCTAAGCTTCACCAATTTCCGGGTTTTGAGTGTGACTCACATGTTAGGAGTCATGGAATTGTATACGCCTGGAGAATACTGATGCCAATTCTCCGCATAGGGCTATGAATGTGAATAGCGAAACCACCTTAGACATGAATCGGGAACCGAAATGATGTCGTTCCGGGTCCCCTACTAAAATTCACACCCAAGCCATGCTTTCTGCAATGATCTAGGCAGGATGCTGCGTCATAGTCGGAGTCTTTGATAAGCGCTCCTTTGGGAAAATGCCTGATGCAAGCACTGGGATCGCAAGAGGTTCAAGGGCTTACATTGCCAGGGCCTGACATCGCCTGCGTGCTGCTGTAGCCTCAGATTCACTCGTTTTTGTGAAGAATCTGGTCAGCAGCTCGTCACAAAACAATTTGGGTATGGGTCAAAATCTGACCACCGGGAATTGGACCGCAGGCTGAGTCCTTGCTTCCACTGACCAGGGCGAGCCATTTTGCGTTTGTTGACCCACACCCATCTGTCACCCAAGCTCAGAGCAACTTCTGACGTTCCTCTTCCACAATTCGAGCTTCCTCAGCCTGGAGGAGAATGCAA